CACATATTATATTATAAATAGGCGACAATGTTAATGTGTCATGAGCTTAAAATTTAGTATTAATGAATAAAGTCACGTGCTATAATATGAATGAAGCGATAACACCATGTTGACAAAGTGACCGTGCATGTGCATAGGTGTATATCGTTTGCATGATTGTCATTTGCAGAACGATTTTGAATGCATGAAGATGATATGTTTGGCTTTTAGGATGGTTAGTCGACATGCATACTTGGAATTTCACATCTAATTAAGATTGGATAAATCTTTATCAATGTGACCAAAATTAGAACATACTACCAAAACTAGTCAGACACGTCCGCAGCCACCTCATTCTTGATATGAAATTCGTTCACATCCGTAATTTGCAGTTGAATGAAATATGTTCAATTCAGATTGGCAGAGAGGAGGGAGATAATAGTACGCAACTGTCACTTTATTAGAAAATTTTACTCTTTTTCTTTTGTTGGTTAAAGAGATTTTTTACTTTTTCTTTTTATCCGACTTTAATTTGTCAGCCAGGCTTTAACTCTTTCTTCGGTAAATTTCATCATGACCGCGACCAGCCCGTATAAATAATGCTATTGTCGTTTCGACACCCTTAAATGGCAATTTCAAGTTGGCACAGCTTCCATTACCCATTTTCTACCTAATTTTTTAAATTTTATGACCTACCTTTGTCATACAAGTTTAAAGGAGGGGAGACAAACACTACACTACAACTACTGTTTGTGCAAATTTCTCATCTTAGGGCCCGCTTGGGAGTACTCCTGAAAGGGCTCAAAACGTTTTTTGACAACTAAAAGCTCTTTTGACAGCATTTGACAGAAAAGTTTAGAAGCACTTCGATTTCTTATGAAAATTTCAACGTCTTTATAATAAAAACGTTTTTGCTATAAGCCCTTATGAATATAAGTGCTTCCTAAAGAAGCAATCGCAAACGAGTTATTTTCCAAGTACGTCAAATTCTCTACCTAATTGTAGCCATGCATTAATGAATGATTGATCATAGTCCATATTTAAATTTTCTTTTTTGATGCACCCAAATTTTCAACCTATTTTGGGCATACAAAAACAGAAATGAAAACCATTTTAATACTTTATTTTCAGGCCCATCAATGCTTTTTCCTGTTTTGTGTTTTGCAGCATATGGTTTGGCAGTCAATTGTTTGGGAATGCATGGGTTTTGAAATCTGATTTCAGACCCTTTGTTAGAATAGCTTAGGACCAATTTTAATCCATTTTACACATTTGGATTTCTGGTGTGACTTGTACTGTCTTTCTACATATATTCCCCATTTCGTTTCCAATTATTTATGGTCCTGTCTTTTGTTGCTTTTCTTAAAGTAGACACCATTTCCTCTGCAGATTAATTACTTCATGATTTTATATATTATATATAAGTTCAAAGCTTGAAACCAACTAATATGATAAAATATTATTAACAGATAATATATATTATCTGTTAATTAGAGACACACATCCTCCTCTCTCTCTCTCTCTCTCTCTCTCTCTCTCTCTCTCTCTCTCTCTCTCTGTGTCATGCCTGGCTCCCTCTTATCTCGTTATTCTGAATATAGCTAGTTTGAAAGTGAGAGAAAGGAGGAGCCTTTAATATTCTTGCATTCACATTGCCAAATAATAATCATATTATGAATATGACTTTTTTTTTTCTTTTGGAAAATGCAAGCTGAATGCTTTTGCTTTGAATCACTGCTGGCCGCATTATTTTTCTGTGTCAGTTCTGTAAACCATATGTGGGAAAACAAGAGAAGTACAGTATTTCTGTAGCTGTGTTTTGATAAGTCCAAAGCCAGAGTGGCCGCAGAACCTAGAGGTCAGAAAAATACATAAAAGTCGGAGCAGAAACATGTTCTGCTCAAATCCCAGAGCAGAAAATTATTATACATTTTTTAAAACAAAATAATTACTTCTTCTTAATCTCCTACATATATACTTGTTGTCTACTTTGATCCACAATGTCCTTTTTAAATTGAAGTGGTTGACCTCTGTTTCTGTTCAAGTGATGATAACTAATTATATAAAAATTACCAAGCAGGTTTTGGTCTGACCAATCTGCTCAAGTTGCTGTTGCTGCATACTATAAAAACTAAGAAGGAAGAAGATATACATCTCTGTCACTTTAGAAGAAGATGCTTAATGTTTATTTTGCCATGTTTTCTTGATTTGGATCTCAAATAAATTCAAAGTCTTAAACCTGATGTGATCATCATGTGCTCCCACATGGACAGTCATTTTCAGCAGAGAAAAAAACCAACTCATTGTAATGGGTTTTTTAAGTCAAATTGGTAGTCATTTTTAGTAAGATTGTACCAACTACTTCAATACCTTTTCCCCACATATATAATCATCATATTGTTTTTTTAAGCAGAGTATCTCAGTAAGCAGCTGTTCTGCTTTTCTATATAAAAAAAAACTAAGGCGTACATATTCAAAAAGACAATCACTTTCTTTTTCTTTCGTCTTTTTTTTCTTCTTTGACTGTCAACAAAAAGCATCCTCACAAATGCCAATCTTAAGCAAGGGTTTTGCATCCAATCCACTAACAGACTGAGCATCCAAGCAAAAATGTCAGAAAAGTCCACTCAGAAATATCCTCAAGCAATATATGCATGTGCTCAAATCATGCAAATCTCAGAATTTTATATGTAGGCATGTGGCATGGATCATGAATTTCCATAGCTTGCATCAATTTGGAGTGAGCATGAAAAAAACACAAAGGCTTGTTTATGGAGTTTGCATGCATGGAGGATGGAGCCTTTATCTCTCTTGTTGATCTGATTCCGCAAATGCAGTGATATCAGAAACAGAGCCAAATTTTTCTGCTCATAAAGAAAACAAAATTGACAACTCTTTGTATGGAGTGCTTACAAGCACGAGGAGAGAGAGAGGGTAGGCGAAATTTCACATCACAGTGCCCCAAAACTAAATCTGCATCATTAAAAAATATATATATATATATATATATATGTGATACAATAATGATGCAAAATATAGGCAGATATATAATATAGCTTTTCCTTTGTGCGTGAACAAGCGAGCGTTATGAATCTTGTTTCTAACGTGAATATGCAAATGGGGTAAGAAAGAAGTTTTAAACAATTAAAATGAGACTTGTTTTTGCATGAACTTCGGGTTATGCTAAAGACCAGAACAACTTCTGAGAGTGACTTTGTTTCTTTCTAACGTCTTCAACAACAATGATGATTTTAAGAAAGATCAATAAACGACAAAAGAAATCTCTGTGGGCTCAAAATGCCAAGTGGAGTGATCTTGATTCCGTTGAGAAATTAAAAGCCCACTTATATCCATGATTTTGATCTGAAGAATTTATATCAACATGGGCGCACTAGCCACCACCACATAACCAGTAGGAAGTGAATTTTATGCGTACTCGATCCAAAAGCACTCACAATAGGAATGCAAAATCCGAAAAAAGAAAAGAAAAGGGATGTTCAAATCATTCTTCTATATTAAACATGCACTAGTTAGCACAACTCAAATTCTCAGGAAATTCTCAGGAAATATGGTTTATTATCAGAGAAATAACAATCTTTTCGTATGATATTTAACATGTCATATTATCAGATTATAAGAAGAAAATGCACTCGTACACATAACAAGACGATTTAATCAGAATCAATAGTGAGGATAGCAAAAAAATTAGACAACTAATGGACAGATCTTCTACACATCATCAGTATCAAACAGTTCTTGGATTGAAATTCAGAACTCAACATATTTGCATGTGACGTCAGTCAATCGTAATGCCATACACTCTCTAATTTATATTTATATTTGTTTTCTTTTTCTGTTTTCCCTTTGGTGCTTTTGATTTTCATTTTAAAGGCCATGTGAGTGGTCCTTTCACTAGTTTGAAGGGCACTAGAAAACGAATGGCCTATGGAGCCAAAGTTCCACTGAACCAAAAGACAAAGATGGGTGTAGGTTAACATGTGAGTAGGACATATATCCTCCCAAGTTGGGCAACACATTTCCACTTATTTGTAATCCAAATCCGGTTTGTGTATAACTAAACCACTGGCTCTACAGGGGCAGGAACACCTGCGCAATCAGAATATGGATAAGCTATCTCTGTTTCTTCCATTTGGAACTATTGCTTCATTTTGTCGTCCAATGGATGCATTAAGAACCTTAAGCTCTTATTCTGAGAACCTTAAACAAACTTACGTTAATCTAATTACAAGTTTAATGCGTGATCCACCTGCTTCCGATTGCGTAATCTTCGAGATAATATTTGTTTAGCTTAATACTAAACATGTGCTGTTGGCCTCACCTGCCTCCCTCCCCAAACACAAAGTTCTAAAAGAGCAAGTGATTTTAAGTGCAGTTAATCTTCTGCATGGTTCTTCCTGCAAATAGGTAGGTAAGAATTGTGGTTAGCTACCAGCACTTTTATGGACAAGGAACATGTTTTAAGCTACGTTTTCTCTCATTGTTGCAAGAAATATGAATTTGCTCATCACCACTTCCTTGATCTCTGTTTAACTTGTCCACATACTGATGTCTTAAAGAACTTTCTCAAAAATACCAAAGCATTTCCAGATACACATATTTAGACTTATCAGTTGACATCAAACGAAAATTAAAATGGAAGAAATAACGTAGGAAACTCATACTGAGTTAGAAAAAGTATTAGACATATTTCATAACATAAATCCCATATGTACTTTCCAAAAACAAGTAGATAGTAAACAGAGAATGCCAGTTCCCTCATCTTCATAAACTTACAGCCATCACCATCTATTTGGCCGTCCAACCAAAGCTCCATCAAGATTGGCTGCAAAGTTAAGAGAAGACTTAGGTAGTACTGGCTTCAAGATTTCTTCTTCCTAAATGTGGAACTTTCAAGAACATTTTGGAGATTAGATGCCCCATATAACAACAGAACTTCTTCGATTTTGTTTTTATTTTTTTGGGGTTCAGACAGGTACACAACTGAACTCTGTCCAGAAAAGTCACTCTTCAACATTGACAAGTTCATATTCAATGAGTGAGAGGTTGTTATCTTCTTTCACTGTAAAACTAGCAGGTTCAGCAACTTCAACACGGCCCCACCTGTCCACAGCAAGTCTCATCGATCCTTTGAACATGTCGATTTTGGCATTACGCAGGGTTAGGGTAGAGCCCTCTTTCACCAAATCCACTACACAACCATCATATCAAAACAATTAGTAAAAGGAAACTTACATAACATACAATGCAGTGGTCTTCCAAAACAATGATGCAAACTGGTAAAAATAAAATGGTGTCAAAATATACAACCAAAATTAAGATATAGATTTTCAGCCAAAGGCTGAACAAGAATTTTCAAAAAAAGGCCCAAATTGTTGGTGTGGATCCCCCCTTTTGCAAAAGTACTGGTTAATATGGGTGCTAAAATCTGAAAAACTGAAATTATCAGTTGGTTGGCAGACTGAGAACCTTGAAAAAAAGTGGCACAAACTGATCCAGTCTCATTTAATTAAATGTTATTTATCACCCATGACCACTCATAGAGACTTCACTCCCACTTCATTAAGCTCACATATCTTTGGCTTATGGCATATCTGCAGTCCTTCCCTCCCTCTTATCTTAAGCATATAACTATCAGATGAGAGTCCATATTCCTGGGCTCTTGTTATGGCATTCAACAAATCTCTGATTTCAGGCTTCAGCTACTGGACATCTAAAGTTTCACTAGATATCATCTTGTTTGACTAATTAATGTACTCTAGCATTGCCTCACCCATCAATTTCAGCTACAGGACATCTAAAGTTTTTTATGACATCATTAAAACATGAATTGCGAACAGAAATCAGACCCATGTAAGCAGTGGCTGGGAAATGTAAAACTAGGACCCATGTAACCAGGAACCGAGCTGAGACCTTAAAAACTAATGAATATCTAGACTCAAGGTTTAGAATCCCCAAAAAAATTAAAATAACAGCATTGACCAGCTCCCACCAAGGCCCTAGCATTATCTAATCAAGAGTAAGTACCAGAAAAGGCTGTAAACCTTCCACATATACCACGAGGGGAAATTTGAGTAATCATGTTTTAGAAATATATCAGGCTCAACAGAACATAAGTAATGATGTTTTACCACAAAAAAGTCAAGCCTAAAACCATTAGATGAAAATCCAACCATGAAATCATTCAGAAAAGAAGATTAATTTATCGAGATTTGATTATCAGTCACTGGATTTTGATCCAGCAACTGCTAAGCATAGATTGTGTTCACCAGTGAGAGTACGAAGTAAACTTGAAATACACACCTTGATCATTTCTAGCTGTAAAGATAATCAATCCAGTTTCATCGCCAACCAAGCATTCAGCAATTCGCATTTGGCGTACTTGAGGGGCATCAGCACGACCCTTCTGTAATACCATCTTAGTATTAACAACCTTTACCGTGAGAGTGTGCCCTGAGGTGCTTGGGCGGAGCTGGGCAACCTTGGTGAATACAGGTTTCCTCAATCCTGGTTTTGATTCGGCCATTTCAGCTAAACCTTGCGAAATTCACACCCACGAACGGTCAATCATTAAAACTACACATACTGAGTTCAACAAACATAGTTGTGCAAATGCAATTATATTCTTTTCTCAATGTGGTCCATAAGAATTGTAACATAGAGTCTTAATGCTTTGGTTTTTTCTTCTTCATAATTTCAGAGAACTCAAACATGACATTAACAAAACCTACTTCAATCGATTGGGAATTTCCTTAGCTGGGTTGAGCAGAGCTTTTCCTTTGCCAAAATATTAGAACAAAGATTCCAAATTTATGTTAATTATGGTGATAAAAAGACGAGCTTTTTCGCCAAGATGTAACAGAATGTAAGTAAAAATTTCCAACATAAACTAATCGTACATTGTAAACCGCTATATTGATCATAAATTTTCAACGTAACTTTCCGATTTACAAAGCAGATCAGAGAGAAAATCGATGTTAAACAACGGATCGGAACCCTAATTACTCCACAATATATAAAAAGTAGACACTGATAAAATTTATGATAAAAAAGAACAAATTTGCATCCAAATCTATCAAAAGAGAAACAAGGATCTTGTAAATTAGAGTGAGAAATCACCTTTGAGGAAGCGCAAAGACAATTACGATTGACAGAGGAAAGAGTGAAGATCTGACTAAAGAAGAAAACCGAGGTCGTCACTACTCTCAGTCGGCTCTACAATACAAACACAATGTGAAAAAGGGTTAAAGCTATCACTAATAACTTACCGACCGTCGATCTCCAATCCTGTCAGGAGTAGTCCACCGTCCACGTGTCTACCCTTTTCCTAAAAATCGCCTTTTCGAGTCCCGTTTTCCGTACTTTCTTGTTCTTACGTGTGAGTATACTATTGGTTGAAAAACAGTTAAAAAAAACAAGCGCCATATGAAGGAGCAGAGAAAGAGATAAGCTGTTTAAGGTTCGGTTGGGTTGGGAACAATGCTAGCAGCCACTTCCACTCTCAGCTCCACTGCTTCTCAACTCACACCCTTAAGCTCTCTATCCCCAAACCCATTTTCTGTCAAATTTTCCTTCACTTTCCGAGAAAATAAGAACAGAATCGCAGTACCCACAAGCTTGAAATCCCAAAGATGCCAGCTTTCTGCTCTTCCTGCTCTGAGAGTGTCTGCTAGTTCCCAATCTGCCCCTACTTCCGTTGAGGCGTCAAAGGTCTCGGCTTTGCCGTCGGAGATGAAGGCGTGGGTATATGGGGCATATGGGGGTGTTGATGTTTTGAAATTTGATACGAAAGTTGCGGTGCCTGAGTTGCTGGAGGACCAGGTTTTGGTAAAGGTTGTGGCTGCGGCTCTTAACCCAGTTGATTTCAAGAGAAGGCAGGGCAAGTTCCAGAACACTGACTCTCCTCTTCCGGTAATTTCTCTTTCTTCTTTTGGATTTTCGTTTATTTGGGTTTGTCTTGGCTGCTGAGAAAATGTAGAGAAAGGAGCTTAATTTGAGTTTAAAGTTTGGAAAACAAGTGAACATGTTGAAAAAGAATTACAGTAGAGATTGTGATGTAGAGTTGTGAATTTTCGTTGTTATGTGTTCGGATATCTGGAATTTGTGTTGGGATTAGAATCTGTGTTGGAATTATTGTAATTTTCTTGGGTGAAATTGGCAAATTGAATGCTGTGAAAGAGTGACTAGAATTGTGGTTGTTCTTTTGGATTGGGTATGATAATAATTATGTTTTAATTTCTAAAGGAATTGAGAATAAATTCATTGCTAGCAAAATTCTAGTTTTAATGTAAAATTGAAGTGGATAAAGAGGAAAATATGGTAAACTTTTCCCTTTCCTATATGATATTGGTCGTGCCAGCTTCATTTGAATGGCACTATTATTAACTCAAGGGTTCTTTCACTTTGTCTCCCTGTAGACTGTTCCGGGATATGATGTTGCCGGTGTTGTGGTAAAAGTTGGCAGTAAAGTAAAGGACTTTAAAGAGGGGGATGAAGTGTACGGAGACATAAATGAGAAAGCTTTGGAGGGGCCTAAACAATCTGGCTCTCTTGCTGAGTACACTGCAGTTGAAGAGAGGTTATTGGCGTTGAAGCCTAAGAATCTGGATTTTGTTCAGGCTGCTGCGCTTCCTCTTGCAATCGAGACTGCTTACGAGGGTCTCGAAAGGACTGGGTTTTCTGCTGGTAATCTTTGCTTGTTTTGAATGGTGCTGGTGGAGTTGGAAGCCTGGTGATTCAGGTACCTTAATTTCTACAAATATATTCTCTTCCCATGACTGCATATGTGTTCATACTCTGTTTTTTTATTTTTTTTATTTATTGGTTGAAACAGCTAGCAAAACATGTATTTGGAGCTTCAAGAGTGGCGGCCACTTCGAGCACCGGAAAATTGGAGTTGTTGAAGAGCTTGGGTGCTGATCTAGCCATTGACTACACGAAGGAGAATTTCGAAGAATTGCCAGAGAAATTTGATGTTGTATATGATGCAATTGGTAAGATTTTGTACAACTACAACTACAAGATGTTTTTCATTAGTGTAAGGATAAAACTTAGCAATAGCAAGTCATAGTAGTTAGAATGGACCTGCAAATTCAAAGCCTAAAAGTAATGTTTCGCTTGAACCACCAGGATATAAATCTAGAGCAAACAGATAGCTGGGTGAAATTATGTGGTTTTAAGTCAAGCTGAAAATCCTTGGTCTGCTGGATACTGCTGCATAATTAACAGCTTTTATGTCAAATGAACATGCTCCTTTTAACATTTTCGTTTTCCATTTGTAATGGCAGGTCAATGTGATAAAGCAGTGAAGGTGGTGAAGGAAGGGGGCAGTGTAGTGGCCCTAACAGGCGCAGTAACACCTCCAGGCTTCAGATTTGTAGTGACTTCTAATGGAGCTGTTTTGAAGAAACTAAATCCATATTTAGAGAGTGGGAAGGTGAAGGCAGTGATAGATCCCAAAGGGCCCTTCCCTTTCTCTAAGCTTGTTGAGGCCTTCTCTTACCTTGAAACCAATCGGGCCACCGGAAAGGTAGTTATACATCCAATTCAATGAAAAGGAAAAAAGAAAAAAGAAAAAAGAAAAAAGTTGGGCCAACTTTTGCTGTGTATATGATGTTGCTGCTCTCTTTGTAATATGAATGGTAGGCTACTTGAATGTATTGTGTTAACTCAATTGTGACATGTATAAATACTGGCAAATAAGTAGATGCTCTTTCTTTTTGGGTGATGTTAAACGCAATTAACTGAGTACACCATATTATCAAACTATTTATTGAATTAGTAATTAACCCTAATACAAAATGACGAAAAAGAATATATTGAATTGTGAAACAAATGTAATTTTAATAAGTACACTCTACTTATCGTATTCAACTCTAATCAAACGTAAGCGAAAATCCTACGAAGATGGCAAATTAGTAATAGCAATGGATGGTTAGTATAATGCCTGTTGGAGGCATCAAAAGGAAAATGTGGTCCCTAAACCCTTTGTGTTCGTATCTAGTCTATAATGTCCCTTTTTTTCCCTCAAAAAAATATAAAGCATTGAAACCAATCAAGATCGAACAAGCAGCCAAACGAAAAAAGTACGCTTCAACTAAATATTTATTTGTAATAGATTGTATAATATAATTATGGTATACAAACATTGGAGATCAAAACTGCTGATCACCAAATACATGCTATGATTTTCAATTAACCAAATATTATTGAGAGGAATTGCAAAGGGTGAACAGGGATCTGGGGATTCAACTACCCAATATTGGAAGATGAAGCAATCTTATCGCACTGCTTCACTATGATTTTCAGTCTCAGGACTCTTAATCATACATTATTGATACGAATGCAATGGGAGACATAAGTCCTTCTACCTAGTATCCTTGGATAAATGATTGAGGGATTCGACTTTCCGGGCATTGCAGAGTTCGTCAGTGTGGTCCTTCATTTTCTAAAACAACTGCAATCAGTTTTTGAATGGGTTTGGTATTGTGTGATAGAGTGTATTAGGATGTACTAATGGTATTTTTTATAGTTAAATAAGGTGTACTTAGTTAATTTTACATTTTGATTTATATATTAGGGTGTACTTAAATCATAAGGTGTACTCAGTTAATTTTAGAGTGCACTTTTGATTTACATTTTGCCAAACACTTAAAAACACCCCAACGACCTGAGACAATCTGTCTAACACCTATTGGTAATAACTATTGGAAATTAGGAACGTTATTAAATTGTTATTTAGTTTCCTTTTATTAGTTGATTGTAATTGATTTGGAGTAGTCTCCAAGTAACCTAGTTTTCCTAGTTAAGCTTGTAATATCTCTATAAATACTTAGCCTTTTGGCTCTATCAATAACAACCCGAGAATTATTCTTCTCAACACAGTCTCTAATTTTACATGGTATCAGAGCATCGATTCTAGGGCATCTCTTGAAACTTTTTACAAACCTTATTTTCTTCACAATCTGATGTTTCACAACCCTAGTTGCTAATCTTTGAAATCGTCTACCAAATTGAGAGTCGTTGGCGCTTTTCATCCCTCACCCATAATGGGTATTCATCTTGTACAGTCGTCTTGTTTACCCTCTCCTCAATAATCAATATTTTATTCCCGCTACCAAAGTGTCAATCCAGCAATCAAAGCCATTATTTCCTCCACTGATGAATCTCTAAATGATGCTGATTGATATCATGATCTCCAATTGATTTGCTACGGTTAATAGCCTTTTGTATTTACCAAAATAGTTCCATCAAAAGTCAATTGTATTCTATATATATATTGTACAATTGTATCCGAATATAAATCAATAAAATCACATTCTTTACATGGTATCAGCCCTTCTCTCCTTCAAACGAAGTCACCTCTTTTCTTTGATCCTCCATGGCCGCCACCATCAACTCATCCTCCTCTCCCTCCCCTTTGGGCCCAAACACTACCCATTTCATCAAACTCTCTGAATCCAACTACTTGCTTTGGCTTCGCCAAATCAAGCCTTTCCTTGTCGGCCATGACCTGTGGCAATATATTGATGGGTCTAATCCTCCCCCTGCTGCTACCACAACCACCACCTCCTCCAACCCCACTCCTGCTGCCACCGACACCACCAACTCCTCTGAACCTCCTAATTCCTCTTCTGTTACAGCCACCACTCGCACTCAACCCAATCCTGCTTTCCTTGTCTGGTACAAACAAGACCAGCTTATCGTTAGTTACCTCACCTCTACACTTTCCGAACCAGTTCTCGCCCTCACGGTCCGTTACGACACTTCCAAAGAAATCTGGGATTGTTTGCAAACTCACTTTGCCCAAAAGTCCATTGCTAGTGCTGCCAATCTTCGCTTCCAACTCCTTGATATGACAAAAGGCACCAAATCCGTTGACCAATACCTCAACCAGGCCAAATCTCTTGCTGACTCCCTTGCCTCCATCAACCAACCTGTCTCCAACGATGATTTGGTCACTGCCATTCTTCGTGGCTTGGGTCCCGACTATGCTATGCTTATTACTGCCATCCTTAATTTCCCTCCGCTGCCCAATTTCACTGAGTTACGCTCTCGGCTTCTCTCGTTTGAGACCCATGCCCCACGGTCTTCCTCTGACCCTGCTGCCCAGAGTACTGCCCTAATGGCAGCCCAGTCATTCGGGCCACCTCGTGGTGGAGCTGGCCTCTCCCAAACCTCTTATGTCTCCCGCGGCAATGGTGGTAACGGCCGCAATGGCCGCAATGGTGGCTGGAATCGCAATAGCTCCCGTCGTGGTGATCGTTGGAATGCATTCTCCCCTCAATCCTCCTCTTGGCAGACGACTAGTTGGGCTCCCTGGACTGGGCCTCCACAACCCTCACCTGGTCGTGGCTTTAGCTCACGGCCCCCTTGGGCTGGCCAAGGTGTGTTAGGCCCTCCTCCTTCCAATTGGTGTCCCACCTGCTCTACTACTCAACACACTGCTGCTGCTTGCCCCCATCGCTACAATGGGCCTGACTCATTTCCATCCTTTGCTGGCTCCCACACCATTCACCCGCCTGACAACACATGGTACCCCGATACCGGAGCAACCCACCACATGACTGGCAATGGCAATTCTCTCTCCAATCCCCAACCATACAATGGTAATAATTCCGTCCTCTTGGGTAATGGAGACTCCCTTCCCATCTCTCATACTGGTAACATACCCATCTCTTTGGGGACTTCTAAACTCAACCTTAGAGATGTCTTCCTTGTTCCTGCTCTTGACAAAAATCTTATGTCTGTTGCTCGTTTTACACATGATAACTCTGTCTTCTTCGTTTTTGCACCAAATTTTTACCAAATTTATGACTTACATACTGCCACACTTCTTTTTCAGGGCCCCTGTAAGGATGGTCTATACCCAATGTCCTTCCCTTCTATCCCTTCTACTCCTCGTGCTCTCGCTGCTGTCTCGTCTTCAGTGTGGCATAATCGTCTTGGTCATCCCTCGTCTTCAGTACTATCTAAATTAAGCCCCTCTTTAGGCTCTATTTTTCCTTCGCATTCTAAATTTTGTAAGGGTTGTGCTCTTGGTAAATCAACCCAATTGCCTTTTTCTATCAATAAAAATTCTGCCCCATCTTTATTTTACTTAATTCACTCTGATGTGTGGATGTCTCCTGTTACTTCTGTTACCGATTTTCGTTACTATGTGCTCTTCACTGATGAATATTCCCGCTACTCATGGATTTATCCCATGCGTCGTAAATCCGAAGTATTTTCTCATTTTCAAAAATTTGTGGCTATGGTTAAAAACATATTTGGGACTTCTGTCAAATATCTCCAAAGTGATAATGGTACGGAATACGTTAATACTTCTTTCACCACTTTCTGTAATTCCCTTGGTATCCAACAAAGATTTTCTTGTCCCCACACCCCTCAGCAAAACGGTCTTGCTGAACGCAAACATCGCCACATTGCCACCATGACCCGTATTCTCCTAAACACTTCTCACATGCCTCTCAATCTTTGGGTCAAAGCTGCTCTAACCTCCGTTCATCTTATTAATCTCCTTCCTACTCCCATCTTAAACTGGTCTACCCCTTACTCTGTTCTCTTCTCCAAACCTCCAACTTATTCTCATCTCCGTGTCTTTGGGTGTTCTTGTTTTCCTTTTCTTGGTCCTTATGTTAATCACAAGTTATTGAGTCGTTCCTTGGAATGTGTTTTCATTGGCTATAGCCTCCATCACAAGGGTTATCGTTGCCTTGACCCATCCACAGGCCGTGTCTACACATCTAGGCATGTTATTTTTAATGAAGATTGTTTTCCTTTTACTCAGTTGCAGGTATCTTCCTCATCCCCTTATGTGGCGCTCGACCTTTCTCCACTTCCTACTGTACCGCTACCTCCACCACCCGCGACCCACTTGCCCATTGATCTCGTGCAGCCCCCACCTCTTGATCCGGTTTCTCCAGGCCCAACTACCTAACCCACCCCCGTGGGCCCTAATTCCTCTACAGCCCAGTCAGCCCCCGCTGACTCTGCCTCCCAGTCAGCCTGTGTTGATGCACCCGCATCCCAGTCCGTCCTTATTGACTCCATAACCCATGCGGAACATGTGTCTACCTCAGCCCCCATGGGTCATATTGATCTCGCAGACCCCGCACCCTGTTCTATTGCTGCATTGCCTGACTCCCATGTTGCAATTGAGGCTATGCCTCTTGTCGCAGCCAACCAGCCAGCACCTCACCCGATGGTCACCCGATCCCGCACTGGCACACTCCATCCCAAAGTTCGCACTGATGGGACAGTTAGGTATCCCATTTCTCATGCTCTTTTAGCAGCTGTCACTGATCAGGAACCGACTTGTTTTTCTCAGGCTCAGAAACATGTTGAATGGCGCGATGCCATGACTGAAGAAATAAATGCTCTACTTAAGAATAATACTTGGACTCTTGTTCCGTCTACCCCATCTCAAAATACGGTCGGCTGTAAGTGGGTCTTTCGGATCAAACGTACTTCTGATGGTTGTATTGAGCGCTACAAAGCCCGTCTTGTTGCCAAGGGTTTTCATCAACAGCCGGGTATCGACTACGCTGAAACCTTCAGCCCTGTTGTCAAACCTGCCACCATCCGCACAGTTCTTACTATTGCCATCTCTCGGGGTTGGTCTCTCCGCCAACTCGACGTCAAAAATGCATTCCTCCATGGCATTCTCCACGAAGATGTCTACATGGCTCAACCACCAGGTTTTGTTGACCCCACTCGCCCTAATTATGTCTGTAAGCTTCACAAGGCCTTATATGGCCTCAAGCAGGCACCCGTGCATGGTTCCATCGCATAAGCTCATTTCTTCTTTCCTTCGGCTTCCAACACAGCCAATCTGACTCATCCCTTTTTATTTTTCGGCATGCCTCTTATGTCATATTTCTCTTGTTATATGTTGATGACATCGTGGTCAAAGGAAATGATTCCAGGTTTCTTCACCACTTCATCACTGCATTGGGTCTTGCCTTTGATATTAAGGATCTTGGTCCGCTTCATTTCTTTCTGGGCCTCCAAGTTACAACCACATCAGATGGCCTTCATATCTCACAGCTGAAATATGCCCACGACCTCCTGCAGCGTCATGGCATGCTCCACTGCAAACCTGCCAACACTCCACTGGCCGCCAAAGTTCCCTTGTCTGCTTCCGACGGAGTGCCCCTGGAGTCTCCTTCTGACTACCGTGAGATTGTTGGCAGTCTTCAATACCTGACATTAACTCGCCCAGACTTATCCTTCGCGGTCAGCTCCGTTGCTCAGTTCATGGCTGCCCCTTGCACCTCTCACCTTGTTGCTGCCAAGCGGATCTTACGGTATGTCAAAGGCACGCTCGACTTTGGTCTCTCTCTTAGCCCGCAACCTTCCACTGCTCGCCTCAGTGCCTACTCTGATGCAGATTGGGCTGGCTGTCCAGATTCACGTCGGTCTACCAGTGGCTACCTCATCTACTTGGGCACCAATAGCCATACCATCCCACAGTTCCTACATCTAACTAAACCAACAGTCGCACCCTTCTTTGGCGCTGCAATTTCCTTATGTTTTTCATACAAGTATTGCTTTCTATACAAATCATATTGAGCCATCTCTAGTCATGCTCTCTGTTGCAATCAGATATTGAGCCCCTGTTTTCTTGTTTACTACGCTTGCCACAACCACGCCATCTTTGGCCTTCATCGAGCCTACCCATCAATTTTTTTTAAGTCGTCTATGCTTGCGGCAGACACGCCGTCTTCATTGCGGTTCCTTCGTGAGCCTAGTCACTGCTCACTGAGCCGTTTATTTCCTCCGTGAGCCTCGTCAACGCTCACCGAGCCATCATGTCTTTGGACAACCCACGACATCTCCAACAAACGCAAGAGGCTCTACACTAGCACCACCGTTGTTGACCAGCCACTGTGTTCATTGATCTCTCTTTCATCATTATTTTTCATTCTCTCTTCTCTTTTTCCAAATCTCGACCCTCTACAAGCTTCGGATTTGAGGGGCAGATATGGGAGATAGACGCATTGTCACACATAAGCTAAACACAGGCAGCTGCACACCATCATCAATAGCTTCCGCACAATTGCACCAGCAACATCATCAATCAGTTGCACCAGCAACACCATCATTCAGCTGCCCCAGCAGCATCATTATTCAGCCTCAAGATAAGGCATCATCAACAACATTTGTTGCACATTAGCAACAAAATCACCATCGTTGCACATCAGCAACATCAACAACAGCCTCCATACATGCAAAATGCGTTGAACATCAGCACAACTTTATTTGGGTGCTGCTTCCTTCAACTCACGACTCTCATACATCGTCGGATTTGAGAGGAGCAACAACCACCTTTACAGCAGCACACCGCTGCTCCATTTGCCTCCAGATTTGCCTTCATTACAACAGTGACACAGCTGCGACACAGCTGCCCCCTTTACAGCAGTGAGACCACTGCCTCTTTATCAGCAACCTTTGGGAGTAACACCTTTCACAATCTCTTGTGTCCCCTTTACAGCAGTGACACCACTGCCTCTTTATCAGCAACCTTTGGGAGTAACACCTTTCACAATCTCTTGTGCAAGTTGGACGTTCTTGATATCCACCCTCCAACTTGAGGGGGAGTGTTGGAAATTAGGAACGTTATTAAATTGTTATTTAGTTTCCTTTTATTAGTTGATTGTAATTGATTTGGAGTAGTCTCCAAGTAACCTAGTTTTCCTAGTTAAGCTTGTAATATCTCTATAAATACTTAGCCTTTTGGCTCTATCAATAACAACCCGAGAATTATTCTTCTCAACACAGTCTCTAAAGTAGATGCTCTTTACCAATGCAGAAAATCTAACATGCAATAGTGGAAAACCTAACTTCAATCTAGTCACTAGGCCTGGGCATTCCCAAGACTCGTGACAGAGGGTAAAATAGTCTTTATGAAAAATGTTTATGTTCAGCAATTTAACGGGTCTGCATAGATAAACCCAAGCCATTACACTTTTGGGCCCTAGACAGGTCTGCAACACAAGCACAGTTCAAACGGCCTTTTTTTTTTTTTTTTTTTTTTTTTTTTTTGTAACTGGGGCCAGGTTAATGGGCAGCTTATCCTATTACTGGCCCAGAGAAGGGGCAAAGAAGTTGATCATGGGGTTAAATTTTGTGATTTATTAAGGGGAGTTCGAGACAATTTTAGTCATGGATGGCAAGGTCTAAGATTTTTTAAGCTCTTGTGATAGGTTTTCATCTTACGACGTCAATGTCAGATAGAGCCTCGGATGCAAAACGGAATGCTCTCAACCACTTGAGTTGTACTCATTTGTTTTCTCTTTAACGTTAAAAATAGGTAAGATTTATAAGCCAAACGAGTAAAATGCTATTCGTTTTAGCATTGAAGGCATGTTGTACTGCGAGCATTCATTCAAGGGGATGCAAAAATCAAACTAGATATTGACTCAGCATAACTGAAAGCCTCTGAAACAGTTATAAATTATTCCACACACAGCTACGTGTAGTATAAATATCCCTGAAAAGAAACCCTCGAAAATCAAAGCTGCTGTCCTCCCAATTTACCAGATCATAAATTTACTTTTCCTTTTTCAGAAGCCTCAGTCACTCACTGCATCGTGCATGTTTTACAGCTATTTAATCTGGAGGACTGCAGAGCATAAATATTTTACGGTGAATATGAATGGGGTAGGGTAGGGCTATATATGTGATTAATCTAGTGATATATATATATTCCACCTACTTCTTGTAGCAACATTTAATCTATGTGTACAACATTTAATTCCCTGACCATGACTTCACACACACTCTCCTCCTCCTATATGCATCTCCACTCTATCCAAGGAAAGAAGCGTCGCTGATTGTTACCAAACGAGTTGTGGTAAGCTAAATGTGTGCTGATTGAGCTATGACTCTGACATTTTTGGCCTAGCTAGGGCTCTCCTCTCTTTCCAAGTTGTGTTAATAAAGCTAAGCGTGGATTGTAGACTATTAAACACGTGAGTCTTGGAAGGAAAAAGATTGATTGATACCGATAATAGTCGTATAATCCGTTTTTAATAAAGATTGTGACAATATTTGATAATATCGACAATGAAAAGAAGGTTATTAAATGTTTGAAGTATGAAAAAAATAATGTCGGGTGAAATGTATAATTGCCTTAGAAAATTGACCGGCAGGTTAGTACAATTATCGAATTGTCATAAGAAGTGAAGAAGGAACTCAATAATTAAGCCTCAAGTCAATGGAAAACATGCCACAGTAACAAGAGATAAGAATAAGCTATCAATCAGAGTACATTATTGGCGGATCTTTTACCGTGACCAGAAAAAGAAGATGTGCATGCATGCATGGGAAATTATTATAGGTCGAAAGAGTCTTATCTGATCTGATGAGACCGTTGGGAGAAAGTAACAGGAGATGCACTCTCTGGGGAAATGACATGGAGTGGGGACTTTTGGTTGCTATTTACTACTCAATGGAACAAGAATCTCCTGTTGAGGCAGATTTTTCAATAACTCTATCTAGTACGGTATCTATGACTATGGGTTGCATGCAAGCTGTCCAGCTTCTTTGTGTCAAGTGCCAACCCCTTTTAATTAAGCTCCAAAGTTTTTACATGCATTCTTTATAAGGGGGGTTAAAATTCGTTTGAAAGTGATTCTGAATAAGTCAATAATAAAATTTACGGTCGTATTACTTTACAAGCAAACACTTGATTTCAATATCATTAAAAGGTCAACAAGAACATGATGTGGTGTGTGGGTGAAGTTAGAAACTTGGAGGAAGAAGAAGAAGAAGAAGAAGACGCACATTGGTGTTTGTACATAAAGCTTCTAACTGGGTCTTTATTGGTCCCTTGGATGTAACATAACATGCATGGGTCACTCACTGAATCACTGCAAATATGCTATATATTAATGAGTTAAATAATAAAAAAATCCATGAAAATGAATGGTCTCTCCGGTTATATTGCCGACAAATAAAATTAATTAAAGAATACAATCCAAGTCCAAGCACGGCAAAGAAAGACCTGTCCTTGAACTTTTCACAACCATATATACAGCTGAGCTACTGCATATATTATATTGACAAATAAATATACACAAGGTTTTCCCCTCTTAGCTGTAAGCAGCCGTCGTTCTCTCTCTCTTTGTGTGTAGAGGGGGAGGCAAAAATGGAAGCAGAAAATGAGTACAAGAAAGGGCTGTGGACAAAGGAGGAGGATAGGGTTCTGCTAGACTACGTAACCGTACATGGAAGTGGCCGCTGGAATCGCATTCCTAAGCTCACCGGTAAGACCTTATCAACATTATGCACTTGTCTGCTTTGTTTCATCTTCATTATACGAATAATTTATGATATATATCATATATGTATATATGTAGGTTTAAAGAGGAATGGAAAGAGCTGCAGATTGAGGTGGATCAACTATCTGAGCCCAAATGTGAAACGTGGAGATTTTTCTGAGGAAGAAGAGGACCTCATCATCAGACTTCATAATCTTCTTGGCAACAGGTTTTCTGAAATTTATACTTTTTCCTATTTTTGCTATATATATACTCTCTTCTTTTTTTTCTTGTGGGGGGTGGATTAATTTCTTTGAGATGCTCATTTGGATGTTTTGGAGTGTTGTTAATTAAGACTTAATTAAAGAATTGGGTAGATCCGTGATAGTAATGTGTGCAAGGTGACTTTGATCCCCATGTCTCACTATTTCTATTGGTACTTGGAAATGGAATCACATTATATTTATGTACATAAAAATAATCAACGTGTTTGTTAATGTATATGGATGCTGCTGATAATTATATTGGATTATTAATCACTGATCAAAGCTTAATTAACTTTGTATGAACATGTACAGGTGGTCTCTGATTGCGGGGCGTGTACCAGGAAGAACTGACAACCAAGTCAAGAACTACTGGAACACTCGTTTGTGCAAGAAGCTTGGCTTCAAAAAGCAAACTCCAAAAGCTCTTGCTTCCTCCTCTGAAACTCCAAAAGCCCCGGATTCAAATTCTAACCAGTCTTGCAGCTGCGGCACTAGCAGCACTGTCAAAGACATGGAAGCTCTGCAAAATTACCAAAACCCATTGTTGGATGATATTGTTGCAGCTGAGGATTCAAATTCAAACGAAGAAATACAATGGATGACCGAGCATTGCGCAGAGTCGCTTTCTTGTTCTAATGGTCATAATTTGATTAGCTGGGGCATGTTGGAATTTCTACAAGGGCACCCTCTTGAACTTTTGTACCAAAATTTTGAGTTGAGTTAATAAATTTTCGTTTATGGTCACTAATAATTGTTTATTAACTTATAAATTATATAATATATAATTCAATTTTAGAAATATTTATTAACGGCCCACTACTAGCAACACCGATATTATTCTAAACTTAATCACATATATAACCTAATAAATATAAAATTTTATCACAAAAAAATCTTAATGATATTAATAGCAGAACTCCCTCTTAGAGATATTTAGTCATATAAACCCTACACAATTCTTAGCACTAAAATTATAAATAAACCCTAAACAATTTAATTTCTATAAACAAACCCAAAAAAAAACCCAAAAAATGACAGCTGATCATATTGAATTTAATTTTGATTATTAAATTACTTTGATGCCCTATTGAGTGTTTTGGGCTTTTTTTATGAGGTTTTTGATTTGTGTTTGTTTTAAGAAATCAATAGTAATTTTGTATTTTAAAAGAAGTTAAAAACTTTTTTATTATGTTATAAATGAGTTTTGGGTGTGTTTATAAAATCCATTTCATGTAGAGTTTTTTTTTTTATAATTTAAGCTTCTATATTGAATATAATAGTGAATCCCCCTTCTTAATAATATAGAAAAAAACTAGTTGCGCCTAGTCTTGGGAACTCACTCCCTGTCCTCAAAATCTGGTACTACTACAAGAATAGAATATAGGATTTATATGTTATTTGGCGTCGGTTTTGGTTTTTGGAACAGTGAGCCACTGACCCAAACGTAAAGGTCCTGATTGGACTGGATTTGCCAGCTCCGTCCTTCTAGGTGGTCCACACAACACACCCACATGTTATGTTTGCTTCGAACATTTAATGTGCCTTCCTTGACCGAGTTCAAAATTTTCATGTGCCGTGTATGTTTGAAACGACATTGTCACCTTTGGACGACTTGTAGCTTGACCCGCATCTACTAGTTTTTTGGGCCCCTGGCCACCACAAGAATACGCACAACAAAACCCAACATTGTATTGTAAAGCTGGGTTTCAGCTTGTATTGGTTTTGGGCTGTCTTTCCCAAATTGATTTTGTGGCTTTGATTCTTTGGGATTAAACCCGTGTCACAACTCCTCATTATAGCATTTTCGTTGATTCTTTTCTTAAAGCGATTCTTAGAATCACAATTATTAGAAAGAAAATGCTTAAGAAAAAGGTAGTAAGATGAAAATTTAAACCAGAATAAAGCATTGCCTAAAAGGCATACCTAGAAGTACAATCACTGTATAGAAAATTTTAACACTGTTTGAAGCCTAGAAAGGAGAATTTTTACATACGGCGACAAAAAGAGAGAGAAATGGACCAGACTACGTTATTTCATTATGACACAAAGCCATAAAGGCTATTATTTTGCAAAAACGTTCCAAAGGGAAATGCAGAACATAGGAAATTATACCAAGGCTTCTGGACAACGTTTGCTGCTCAGACAGACAAATGGGGTGTAATTTTGAACTCAAGATCCCAAAGCTGGAAGCTACCGTTGACGAAATCGTAGTATCCGCCGTTCAGGCTTAGTGTCTTGTTCACCACCCCTTCTCTCACAAATGGATATGTCAGTAGGTTTCCCAGTGACACATTCACAGCTTCCTGCATTAGGGTCACAAACAAGAAGATGGATAAAGCTAGCCGAATTCGGTAGCTCTGTTTCCAGTTTTGATTTTAATTTACTAAAATGAAAAAAAAAGAAAAAATACCTTCTCCAAGTTGGTGCACTGCTCTTTGAAAGTTAAACCACTGTATGCTGTTTTGATCTTGTTCTTAGCCGGCGAACAGATTTTCACCCAGTCCTCTATGAACTCACTGAAATTTCAAGGGATGTACAGATGGAAACACTGTTAATGCATAATTTACTGGATCAGAAAGTGCAGTAAAATTTGTGCCATATGTGCAGCAGCATCAGCATATGCATGATGATTAAGGAAGGAATTAAAACAACAGTAGTGAGATTTTGACTGCACGGACAGTACCACATTGATAGATTTCGGAACGGTGTTAAAAAGTATGCTTAAAGTTGGACCAAATCTCAAAGCAAAATTGAAAAAACAAGAGAATCTGAGGCTGTCATGACTCATAACCACTTTGTCCTTCAACTTCTGCTTTATCCAACTTTATGGATGCCTCCGAAAAATTATGGTACCATTGCCAAAATAAAGTCCTTATTCTCTTCCCATTGAGTTGGACATGACACAAATCAATATTATAATACACTAATTATAGCAACTAGCAATAACACCACATGGGAGGGACGAAGGAGAAAGAAACCAACCAATTGGGCCAACATTTTAAACTCTTTACTGCAAATAAGGTTCATTATTCTTCTTAATTCAAGCATATGTACAACTTCTGAACCAAATTAAGAAAGATGCAAAGTGTTTCAAGGCTTTAAGCTACTTCTTCTTCTTGTGTTCATAAATGAAATGAAGGCTGGCTTACCTAGCAGTGGTCCCATCATCTGGGATTGACATGAGCCCTTTGATCCCACCACAGCAGCTGTGTCCAATGACAATAATATTCTCCACCTGAAATTCATATTATCTTTTTCAATCATTGTTCCTAATCTTAAAATAAATATAAAAAATTATTGGAATAAAAGGCATAATGCCAATGGAGTCTAGCCCAATGAAAAAGGATTTTGACTCACAAATCAGAGGTCTCAAGTTCGAACTCTTATAACATCGTGATTCGTAATTGTGTGTGTGTGAGAAACCTTCGTTTCTACTTAATTAACAATTAATATTCCTTCTTCTCCTTTCTGTATCTGCAACTTTTCACTTTTTCTGCCCCTTTTATTTCGGAGGGTGAGAGCCCCAAGGAAACATGATTATTTGTCGTAAGGAAAGGAACAAAACCAACGACTAGGCGACCATTATTGAATTTGAAGAAGAAAAAAACCAGAGGAAAAAAGTTGAATATAGTGGTTCCAGCCAGAGCAGTACAACTAAAAGTAGAGTTGAATATGGAAAAGTAAAAAAGAGAGTGGCTCTTCCTATTATATTCACCTTCAGATGCAACACTGCATATTCAATGGCTGCCCCCACTCCCGCGTATTTTTTCTGCAGCAACAAATAGTCAACATACACATATACAATTACAGACAACCAAACTTATAATATATTTATTTATATTAATAATAAATTAAAAAAAGATGGACCCATTTTTTCATTTTATATAATCTTAAAGCAGATTCCATCATTTTGGGTTGAGGAATCATGCGCAGTTTTCTTGGAGGGTTCGGAAATAAACATTACGCGCATTTGCTAACGTATGATTAACATGTAATGAATTATGAATGTTTTGATGTTTTTCCAACAACTAAAACAAATACAAGAAGAAACAATCATCCAATGCAAGTGGAGATTAATTTAATCGGGGTTTTGTTAGGCGAACCGGGTCAAATGGAGGGACCATGTTGGCGATGTTTCTGACCACAAAGGCCTCCCCCGGTTGGAAATTGAGGATGTGCGAGGGGCAAACTCGGGAGTCTGAGCATGCAAAAACCATGAACTGCAAAGACAACAATCACATTACAGGCTGATTAATCACCTTAACCATACTTAACTATTCTAATATTATTTGTTCATCACTGACCTTGGGGCTTTGGCCTGTCGCAAGCTTGTCGTATAAATCAGCATCTTTCCTAGAACCAGAAGGGTAGTTTGGGTAAATCGTTTTGGATCGGGGAAAAAGAGGGGAATTAAGCGAACAGCATATTCGAAGAAGAGAATAATTATAATTTCTTTTGGATAATTTTGGAACTTACTCAAATTTCTCCTGCGAACAGCATATTCGAAGAAGAGAATAATTATAATTTCTTTTGGATAATTTTGGAACTTACTCAAATTTCTCCTTCTTGAAATGGAGGAAACCGGTTCTGATCTTCTCGACCGGGTCTAGCCCGCCCGACTCCAACTCTTCCGTTATCTGCTTGATCTTTGCTGCGGCGACGCCTTCGAGGTCGGCTTTCTCACTGCAGTTATCAAACCGAAGTTGTTAATGAAAGCCAGGTCAAAAGGGGCCCACCACGGTCACAGACGGCTGATCCAATGCCATTACGGAAGGGCCCCCACGTGGCAGCAACGACAACTGCCTGATAGGCTTAACGCGTCGTGATCGAAAAGGAAACGGCAAAATGACAGTGAAGGACAGCTATTTGTGGCTAATCACAGCAAAGGACGTAACGACAGACGGTGGTTTAGTTTTGTCAGGACGAGGAAAGAACGGAGAGAAGAATACCGAAATTCTAATTTGGAAGTCGTTAAAGTACCTCAGGAGCTTCGAAAGTCCGGCAATGGCATCCTCGTACGAGTCCTTAGCCATGTCTTCCTTCTGCAATTCCCAAAAATCAACCAATCCAAATTCAATACAAAAAAAAAAGAAGAAGAATTTGTTTTATAAATCAATTTCACAATTCTGCAGAATCAAACATGTGAATTACAAACGAATTATTTTCAGAATTTGCATGCGCAAATTAGTAATCTATATATCTGATCAGGATCGGTTGAGATCAACGTACAGAAATAAGAGAAAGATCGAGAAAAAGAGTGTACGGACCTGTGAAGCTGGGATTTGGGAATTGGAGAGAATTGAATTTTGCAGGTGATGAGGATTTGAGGAGGGAGGGAGGAGGAAGAGGAGGGGACGGTGACCACCAGTTGAGCACAACTCACGTAAACTGTGCCTTTGGTATTTATAATATTTTGCCTTTGCCTTTTGTTATAGTTATATCCAAAACATTTGACTTATATGAAAACCTCCATTATTTTTTTGGATTAGATAACGTTACACACGACATTAGGATTTTAAAAAACTGAACATGAAACTAGAGAACGCCTAATCATGTGTTTTTGTTTTTGTACATGGTAATTTTCTAATTGGTAAATAACCTATGAAATATTAAAGAGGATTGTTATCTTATAGATATGTATGTGTGGTTGAAATACATGTAGCACAAATTGAATAAGGAAAAACAAGAAGGGGAATGCAAGAGAGAGGCTCAAACTTGAATACATGGGGACAAATTCACTGTCGTGACCAATTGGCCTAATCCGCGTCTGCTAACATCCTTCAATATTAATTCCGCATCTTAGGTAGGTAATGATGCCGTGCGTTTGGATGTAGAATAGGTAGGGTGGGTCAAGTGGCCTGGAGGATACGTAACTAATAGCGAGGTAAAAGGGTGACTTAAGAAAAACAGCGTGTTAAAAAGGCTAAACAACGGCACCCATGTAGGTAGCGGAACGCGGGTGTATAGGCATGAGGAAGTCAACCAAAGGCTGCGAGTGGGTAGGTGCCACGTGGTGGGTGGTAGGATAGGGTGACTGAAAAAAGAAAGAAATAAGATAAGGGTGAGTGATTGAAGCACTTCTATTTTTATTAAAACGGTGACGTCTACCTATGAACTGTACTTAGAAATGAAATTACCAGCACGCGTAACGGAAATTAATTTTTTATATTTTGATTTTGTCTATTTTGAGATTAAATTCCATGAAGCATTATCTTCTTCTTCATCAACTTCCGAAAGAATATATTTTCGACCTCTAAAAAGTGGTCTCATGATGCACTCTTCTTGAAAGCGAAAAGGCATTTTGCAAGTTGTTTTTGTATACTTGTAGTCAAAATTAAATTGAAATTGAAATCAAATAGACCGACTTGTTCACAATGAAGTCTATGGGACAAATGAAAATAACATTCGAAACTTCAAAAAAGATAGGTAGAACTTCAATGAACCCAAATTGATTAATTAATTAATAAGCGAAGTTGAAATGAACCAATTAAAATAATAATAATAATGTTTGAAATAAACCAAAAGACAATTTATAAGGTTTCATTGAATGACCTCTCACGTTTGAGTTTCGGATAGTTTTGCTATCCTTTGTACTATTTATAGAAGCATCAGCTCTAATTAAAAAAAAAAAGGTTTGATTGGATGGTATGGTAGTGGGTTTCCTTGTCAACACCGGCCTTGGATATAACTGGGCCAGAAGCAGAGGAACCCAAAATTAATATAGATTCAAGCTAGGTTTATGAAATTATATGGGGATTTGCAAATAATTAATTAAATAACTAATAATTAAGCAGACCAAGACACAAGTGAAAGCTAAAGCTTGGATCTTAATCTAGAGATCCATCTTGGTACTTGGTATTTGCAGGATCCAATCCATCTTCTTCACCCTAAGTCGTGCTAGCAATTGCCAATCGTACTGCAAAAACTTTAATTGGTCCATATATTCAATTATAGTTGACAACATTTCTGTAGTTGCGGCATGTCCCCGGGATGAGAACTAAAGTTTTAGTTGACTCGTGAAAAAGTTGAAAGGCAACAACACCAGTTTAATTATGATTACTAAATTGTTCCAAGTCAATATATAATTAGCTAGCTCTGCAAAATGTTAATTGTTTGTTTCTTGACTTGAGCTTTAATATTAATATGATCTTCTTCAAGCAATAAAATAATAAAGCTTTAAAGTTGGAGGAGATCTTACCGTGACCCTTGCTGTTGTACAACAGAACAAGCATCTTCGAAACGATCCAGCCATGCCCCGTTTCTCTGTCAACTGAGGTTGAGAAGAGCTGCTTTTTGGAAGTTAGACTCGCGGCGGCCACCAAGGTTGAGCCATGTTGCCTGTTGGAGACAAAATCAGACTCTCCTGTGCTCTCTCTCGCTCTCTCTCTGTATATACACACACACACACACACACACACACAGAGAAAGGTAGAAGGTTTGGTGGTAGCTCTACATTCCCATCCCAGGCCTGCCCCAGTGGATAAAGGAAGCAAAGCGTCGAGAGGTGAAGGAGGGACCTTCTATCTCTATGGAATGAGGATCTCATATTAGTTATGAGTCTCCAATGAGCCCATCATCATCATCATCTTCAGATAGCCAATCCTGGTACATTGTATGGAGCTGCACCCATTGATTTGAAAGTGATGTATTGTGTGTCGTCATCCCAATTACCAAAACCATCCACAAAATCACGACAATTTTCCGGAATAATGTTACCGTTGTCCTACTCATCATACATACCCATGTAATACAAACGACAAGTCGTACACCAAAAAGCCTAAAATAAATTGTATATTTCACATATTATTTACATATTTTCATAGGTCTTTTTCACGAATTATTTACAATAGTTTCAAACCAAATTGTAATTAACTTGAATTGGTTCAATTTAGCCGAGTAAAAACCTGCAAAAACCAAATAAAAAATGTCTCTGTTTTTGTTATTTTTGTACAAGAAATACTAAGGAGGGAGTTTTCTCACACACATTGTTATGGGGAAAAGAAAAATTACAAGACAAAGTCTCGCGGGCAAGAGCGCCCGAAGAGGTCAAAATAAAAAGGGGTCCTAACAGATAACAGGAGTCCAAGCTCCTATAAAACTTGATTAGAAAAACCATGACCTAATTTTGCAACCGCATCCGCCGTGAAGTTAGCCTCCCTAAAGACGTGTTGAAACCGGATGCTTGCAACAGAAGAAGACAGGGCCCAAATATCTTGAATAATTGGTATGCAAAAGGCCCCTTTTGTTTGTTTTTTTTTTTTTTTTTTTTTTTTTTTTTTTTTGGGCCCTTTTGGTTTGGGCTTTGACCCTTTGACCATGTTAATTTCATTATTTTTTGATACTAATATTTTCTTATAGGTTGTTACTTTTCAGTATTATGTTTCATCCCACTAGGACTATAAGTCTAAGGAGAATGTATTCAATTAAGATTTTAAAAGAGTTCAATGGAATTATAAAGTTTATAGAGTTCAATATATTTCAATTGATTCCTATAAACTCCACATAGAGTTTGATTGAATTCCTAAATTGATTTTAATGGTGTTTGTTAGAGTTTTATAATAAATTTTAAAAAAGTTTATTAGAGCTCTAAAATGTTATTTTCTTTTTTTTCTTCGTTTTTTTGGGCTATTTATCGTTTTTCCATCAACAATATCTTTATGGTTTCAAAATAATGTTTCTCTAATTCATCATCATCCATTTCCTCTTCTTCTTTTTCTTCCTCGATTTCTTCATTCCATAGTATTGCATCTACTTCTTCCATCTCCATTAATAAAAAAAAAAATCTGAATTGCACATTTAAAATTGTAAACAACTAATACAAAGAAGGAAAAGGAAAAAAAGGGATGCCTATAGAACGATAAAGAAGGCTATAGCATATATATGATATGCTGTACAAAAACAAATAAAATATAACAGCAACCAAACTAAATAAATAAAAAAGAAAAAAAGAAGGAAAAGTAGAAAAATAGTTGGGATGCCACTGTACATCGATATATGATGTACAACAACTACTCAAAGATAAGATATTGGAGCTTTTATTTGTAACAGCAACATCAACTATTGGGAAAACGAGAAACATACGTTCAAAGATTGTCGACATTGAAGATATATGATGTACAATAACAATAACTATTGGGAAGACTATTTACGAGAGATCATACATATATGAAAGCGTAGTAGAAAAAGAGAAGATATTTTTTTTTACCTCCACTTGACAAACGCACACATTCAAAGACTAGAAAGTGTAGAGCACTTTCAAAGTTTATAGGATTGATATAAAATTTGACAGGGCCTTCTTATTAATTTCTTTAAAATAAATGACTTTTTGAATGCACTTAAATTTTGTTTCACTTCTAAAAAGTCATAATTGAATACACTTAGATTTCAATGTATTTTTTTAAAGTCAATTAAAATCTGAATTAAATACACCCAAACTTTTACGAATTCTTTTAAAACCTTAATTGAATACCTCAAATCCAGTTAACCGCGTGATTGGTTTAGCTATATGATGGGTATGAAACCGATGTGCACTGGACCGCACTCACCCACCCCTACGTGTGTGATGGTGCTGGCAGCTTGCGTGGTGGTGTCAATGCACCGCTTTGGGTGATCGTGTGTTGTTCATTTACACACAAAAAAAGTTATTGAAAATCAACTGCTACATTGCCCAAGGGATGCGAAGCTCAAATCCTGAAGACACAGCTCGTAAATTTCACCTCCAACTTCCAAGTTCATCTCCCAGCTATACACCGTACTTGACAGGCACTGCAGGTAACCTTTCCCTTTATAATTAGTGGGCAATCAACAATTTCTGGTTTTGACAGTGATCTTCCCTACTAATTCAGCCACCAATTTTCTTTGGGAAATTTGGGAAAGGGCTTCACACACCCTGGTTGTTTACTATTCTGGGTTGTAGTTATTTTCCTCTTTTGTTTTCACTACTGCCAACATTCACTCACAGACGGCTATATATATTTGTCTTTCCCTTGCTGGGAACTATGGTTTTCTCCTTGGTTTCTAAACTACAGTCAAGTAAAGTACAAGTTACTGAAAGTTGAGGAGGATACTCCCATGTTCAAAGTGAAGATTTTTTTATATAAAAATTAGTAATATTTTCTATAGGTGCATCAAAGTAATGGTGACTGTTTTCTCTTTGTTTACCACAAATGGGAAGCGAAGGAGTTTCATAAATTTTGTAACTTGGATTAACAGACTGACTGATGTTGTAACTCTCAGCAATGGAGTTACTTGGCGCATTCAACAAAAGAAAAGATTTTTCATAACAAGGTACAAAAACAGAATTGAGATTCCTCTCTTTTTATGTTCTCTCATATAAAGGTGTTTGGAAATTGAAATTTTATGTAATTTGATCTGTGTGACATGAAGTTTCCAAAACAAAGTTTTCATTAAGAATAACAGCTTTCAATGATGTCCAAAAAAAAAACACTTTTTGTTCGGTTATTAGCGCTCTTAAAGCACCTTTGGAATGACAAAAGCTGTTTCTTTATTTCCTATAATGATCAGTAAATTAAGGTGGAACACTGAGAATTAGTTTACAATGAGTTCAGGACGTTTTGGGGAAAAATGATCTCTTCTGTAATTTGGTTCGAGTCCTTATGACTGCAGTTCCTCTCATTCAGGTTGGAAGTTGTGCTATGGCAGAAAGAAGTTGTCTAAGGTATAGATATCAAGTAATATATCCACTTCAGAGAACCCTTTTACAATTTGCAAAACTACCATTCTTATGCAAATTCTTGTTAATTTAGTATCAATTCCTTTTTTGTTTACAGTTTTATGAACATCAATGAGGAAAACACTAGCGTGTCATCTTTGTGTTCAGTGGAATCCGGCAGTAGTTTCTGCGCATGTAAATTTTGCGGTTCAAAATTTTTGAAGACAACTAGCCAATGTCAGAACATCACCGTTCATACTGTTACTCAGTTCTCTCCTTCTCCTGTAATCTCCTGCACAGAAAGTGTGCCTCAAGGTGCTAATATTTCACAAATTACAGTCGATACAGAGCATGGACAATCACAGTCATCTAATCAATCAACATCATCTACGGTTCTGCGAGATGTACATATTGTAAGAACTTTTTGCATTTCCATGTGTATCATCCAAACTCGGGACTATTTTATGGGTATATTTCTACATTGAGTATAGATATCTGATAATTAACTGGTATAATCCTTTTCAGTCAGCAAATTTAATGGAAGATTTCCTTGGGCTTGCTAAAGACAATACAGAGAAGGATCTAGAAACATGTGGGACTCTTGGCGCCTTTCTGGTAAGATTCATGTTCTCCCTAGATTCTAAAACCAATATGTTTCTTGCGTAAGATATGGTAAATATGTAAGGTTTACAAGTATAAGAATGCCCAGCAATTGGCCCAACTATATTATGGGAGTATTTTCTTTTGAAAAACACATGTTTCAGATCATTAGGCATTCGCTGTTTTGTGGCATGTACTTTTATTTATTACACATTCTCACTTCCATAGGTCTCCATTGCTATGTTCAAGCAGTTTCTTCTGTCTCCCGATCTCATTCAAAACCCAAACCTCTCTCACTTTCTCACGGTTTGCACATTCAAAATTGTTTCTGGATCTTTGCTATACAATTTTTCTCAATGTTATAAAAGGAAAGCGGAAATAGATTAGAGTGTGATTATTTCCTTGAAGGTAATATATATTTGTTTCTGGTGTGTCCATAGAAAAATGGAACATTCTATGTGACAACTCTGATCGTACCCAAACAGGAATGCACTTCCAACTCTGTAAGTATCTTTTGGCAGTTCACTCGTTCTGTTTTTCATTCACAGAGTGTTATCTCACTACTGTTTTCTGCTGACTGCAAAATATGAAAGTGCCAGGCGACAAATGACGAGGAAGTTTTCTCCATACAAAACGAACAATCACTTTTCCCTGTAGGATGGATCCATGTAGGCATTTTCCTATTATTTTAAAGTAATTAATAATACTCATTTTTCGTGAACAACCTTTGTCAACTGTTTATTTTCAGACACATCCTTCTCAAAAATGTTTCATGTCATCAGTGGATTTGCACACTCATTATTCATGTCAGGTAATTGACTCAATCAGTGTGAAGGACACTGTCATTATCAAGAATGTTTACTGGTTTGGTTCTTTGCTCATCTTATCTAGTATAACCACATCAGAAGTATGACAGGAAATTTCGAAAGTTATCCATTGAAATCACATCCACTTGTACTAACTTCCTTTGATATTGGCACATTTCATATAGTTTCACGATCCATTTGGATGCAATTATTTAAGATTAAGAGTTCTGAATTTCAACACTATGTTTACAATTGTTGGAACAACTATAAAAAGGTTAGATACAGTCCATTGTTTAAAATTATTTAAGATTAAGAGTTCTGAATTGCCTTCTTTTGGGGGGTGTTTTATTTTCCACTTCAACAAAGGACTACGCACATCAATCAGTTTATTTGCAAAGACTGCAAATGTTACATGTAATTATGTTAATATGGTTCTGGTTCCTGTTATCGTAAGTGAAGTCTAACATCTCCTTTTCCATCTTTTATCTTCAGGTAATGATACCTGAGGCATTTGCCATTGTCATGGCCCCAACAGATACCTCAAGGTATGCAACTCTGATAGGCTTCATTCGTATGCTTTGTGAATTCATTATTCTCTGCTCACCATTTTGTCCTTGAAAATATGACCAGTAAGTTGAGCCTCTTCTAAAGTAAAAGAATTCCAGTACAAAACTCCTTAAGTAGGCCGGTTGAATATGCAAGTATATGTTTCAAAATGTAAGTAGGAGCACATGAAAATACATAAAATTGAGTATGCTCTACCATCTAAGAACACAACATCAAGGGAAGCATTGCATATGCAAACAAAACCAACTTGTTTCAATTCAACAGCTAATAACTAACAACATCTTTTCACATAGCTATATTGAGAAACTTATTGTTGGGATTTTTCCAGGAGCTATGGAATATTTCGTCTATCCGACCCTGGTGGGATGAGTGTCCTAAAAGAGTGCCAAGAGGAAGGGTTTCATCCTCACAAAGAAACCACAGATGGGAGCCCCATTTACGAGCACTGCTCTAATGTCTACACAAACTCAAATCTGAGGTTTGAAATCTTTGACTTGCGTTGACATGCCTGTTTAGAAATGCAAGACTTTCACACTGTCGACACATCAATTAGCAACAGAGCTTGGAATAAGTTGTTGGTATTTAATAATTCAGATTGAAAAAAAAATGTATCTGCATAATTAACCAGTGTAAATAACGTTTTGAAAGTAACAAAAAGAACAAGGAAGAACAAATTGTGGGTCTCGATGTGTTTCTCTTTTGCATGCAACTGGTAATTACTGTCCTTAACTTCTACCTGCACCTTTTTTCATTAGTTTTGACCTTTTGATGCTCAATAAATATCATGTTCAAGTTTCAACCAACTTTTCTGGATCCCCTGTAAAAGTTTTACTCTGCTGGGTTCAATAATACTGCAACATCGGTGGCACTGGCACTGATCCTGGTCCACCCTTCATTATTGAGCCGTCCTTACTTTATGGTTTCTCTTCTCCAGTCATGAATTGTATTGGATAGTACCGGACAACTAGTGCCATCCTTGTTTAATCTGGCTGGCAAAAGCATCTGTACTCAAACAAAGGCTTCTCGTTTTTTTTTAACTGTGAGAATGCAAGGCACTTGTTGTAACTTAAGTAATTAAGAGAATTTAAACCATGCATCGCATCCGAGATCTTAAGTTTCGATTTCCCTCTCCCCCAATATCGCTTGTATAAAAAAATATGGTGAGAATGTGGGAGGGAATTGGGAAGGAAATGGTAACCAAGTTGAGAGGCCACTTCGTTTAATCAAATATTGCTTGATTTATTTAGGTCCTAATCTACCCACCGCTCATGTTTAATTAAATTATTGGTATGAAAATGAATTGGTCAAGTGGTAGGAATGGGAACCTTCCACCTTTTGGTTTGTCGGAATTGTATTTTTAACATTTTGCTACCTTGACAATAACCTTAATCTTATCTTTGGTTGTATTCGATTCTACGAAAGATACCATCTGTTTTTCAGAAAAGTAAATAAGAAATAAGGTAATGATTTCATCATTTTCCTTGTAAATTTAAGAAGAAGAAAAAAAAATATTCAATTCAAGAACTACCCACATCTAATATCGCGTCGTTCCTTTGAAATGAAAATATACATATTGCGGTTCCTACTGGCATTTTAGCAAAGCCTAAAATTAATGGAAAACACCATTTTATCCGTCTCCTATAATTTACATTAATTAATTAATTAATCAATGAAAAAACTCCAAAACGTAAACAAAAATAAATAAATAAATGGTTAATGACGGGTGAGCCTTCAGAAAGGATGAACGTTTCTGCTCAAGCCGTTCACATTGGTGAAGAACCCAACCAGATCCTGCCTATATGGCAAGTACGACCGCCGTTTATCCCCCTCCTTCTTCGCTCGGTTCATCACGTAATGCTTCTCGTGCGCCGACGACACCGTTTCGGCTTTCTTAGCCTTCCCCTTAACCTTTTCCACCGTCTTCACAATCTTAGCGCCGCTCTTGTTATCGGCCGTTTCCTGGCTCGGCTTTGGGGGCGTCGTCGTCGAATTAGGGTTCAGGAACACGAACGCGTCTTTCCCGTCGCTGTTGCTCCGGAGCTTCAAGTCTCTGACTCTCCACAGCTTCGACGAACCCGTCGAATTGCTCTTGTTCTTGAGCTCCGGCGCAACTACCACGGGCTTCCTCGACCACTCGCAGTACGTTCCTTCGGGGACTCCTTCGAGCTCGTCCGACTCGGACGCCGAGGACGACTGCGTATCCCGCTCTTCGAAGAAGAGTTTCTTCAATGGCGGCCGCAGAGAGGAAGACGAAGCGGCAGCTCCTCTGGCTCTGGAAGAATCGCCGTCCTCGGCGTCGGCGAACAGGAGATCCCGGTTGAAAATCGGGTACACCGGACGGATCTGGCCATTTTGGAATATATCGTCGGCGGAAATCGGCGATCCATCGGGGTTGGTGCAGACGAAAGAGAAATCGTCTTCATCTTCCTTCTTCTCGCAATTACCACCGGCGTCGGCGTTATGAACACCTTCGCTCTCTTCCATTTCCGGCTTCTCCTCCTCGTTATCTAAAGCTGCGGGTTTCGTGTCATTGAATTCGAAATCGCTACCGGAACCAGCGATTTTGAGCTTGGAGCTGAAATTTGCAGAGAGCTGCGCGTATTCAAATTCGTTCTTTGAATCGTACGAATTGAAGCTGGGAGACAAAGACAGCACCGAAACTGCTTGCATTTTCGTTTTGTTCAATCGTACACAGTTTGGGGTTTTTGAGGGTTTGATGCTTGAAACTACAGAGAGAGAGAGGGGGGTTTGGGAGTTTTGGTGTTGAGTTGGTGGTTGGGAGAAAGAATTGAAGTTGGAATTTATAAGAGGCTGGGCAATATTGGCGGGTGGACCCACCAAATATGGGTGGGAGACGGGGGTACGTTTTAGAGGGTCGTTGGGAACTCGAGACTTGGGAAGCTCGGTTTCACTCGGTTTCACACCGTACACGTGTTCATACCACGCGGTTGGTGTTGGAGCATCCACTTGTGATGAATTTGGTAGAATGCAAGAGGCCAAATACCAAATGCAGGGGTGTTAAAGTAAAATTCAAAAAATACTGGTATTTTTGCTCAGCTCTGCTCACCCGCGGGCGGGATTGGCTGACTTCGGGTGGGGTCGGGAGATGAGTCTAAAAAGTCAAGCGGGGTGTATTAAAAGAGTTGGGTGTGGAGGGGAGAGGAGGCAGGGACACGTCATGGGTGAAGTAAATGAATGCTTATGCGATTGGGCTTGTGACTTGCATGGCAATTAAAAGGAGATTACTTTATTCTTTACATCCGTCATCGTCAGTCACCACAAAATCCATAAATAAAAATAAAAATAAAAATTGAGTATCGAACAAAATAATAATAAAATTCATGGGTCGGTCAGGATTCAGGAACTTGGGAAGAAAGTTTTCTGGAGAAGAATAGAAAAGCAGAAAAGTCTAATTGCGGGCGGATGATCAGAAAGGGACTAGAAGGAGGAGGATATTAACAACCGTTTCAATTCATGCACTTGCATTCAACTTTGTTGATACTTCTTATCTACAAGAGATCTCGTATATATCTTTATTATAGGTAAAAAGTTTATCTATGAATAATTTAATTGACAAACTTTTAATGGAGGAAGTTAATATCTTGTAATCTCAACAATACACTTTGGCTTTGGCTTTTTCCCACTGCCAATGAGCGTGACATCATGGCATAAGGGTCGCGAGATAAAATTGTAGCTCAATTAGTTAAGAGCATTTATTGTTGCACCTAAAGTTATAGGTTCGATTTCTATCTCCCTCTATATCACTTGTATAAAAACTGTAAGCATAATTAGGACCATTACAATTAAAAATCCCAAAATAGAATATAAATATTATTTTATATCCGGATCCTGCGTAGATCTAAGGGAATTAAATTTTAGATAGAACATCATTTTCATATGTGGATATTTGGATGAGATGAAGGATTGAAATAAATAAAGCGTCATGATCTGCCTTGTGGATTCTGTGCTTGCATGCTACGTTGCCAAGTTATTCTGGAACTTCCCATTTTCAGCATTAACCATAACAATGAGAATGAACAAGTAAACATCTGGATCACGTGACATGAAAACTTGGTCGTGCTGTATTGCTATTTAATGGTAAGAGTTTGAATTTCCAAGCATTCTAGATGGCTACTTGCTGCTAATTAATCAACTCTCTTATGGATTAAGTTAAGGAAATGATTATTAATTAAGGTCACGAGGGAGGGAAGGCGTCATCATAAATGATTAAGGCACAAGTCAAAATTCCTTTTGCTGTCTGTCTTATTAGCTTCAGCTTTGCATGATGATCAATGAACAGCTCACTTAGCCCTTAATTAATCGAGGTTAATTAAAAGATATATAATTAAGGTTTGGACCGACTGGGTCAATTCAATTCCTTAAGGCTGGATGGATGTCTTGCGAGGCAGGCAAAGTCCCCTCGACAAATCCGACATTCTGGACTTCCTAGGTACCAAAGCAAAAGGGAGTAGCGCCCAAGTTTAGTTTGGCGCAGCAAAAGCACAAGAAGAATCTTCTTGTGGTCAACATTCTGAGGATGAAAAAGACGATTCCAATACCCAGCGAGCTGACTTTTACATGGAGTCATCATCCATCACACGCTTCCTACCAAAATACATCCTACAAACACACAAACAACTATTTATCTCGTATCGACAATTTCACATGGGCTTGGAGAAATTATAACCCTCAAACTACAGAACAAATTAAGAAATTAGAGGGGTATTATGGGAAATTATAAAAGAAACAAAATGTTTAAAGGGACGAAAAGAAAAAACTACCCCTACATTTCAACTACCCGAACACGTGTCTCCTATTAATACACAGGTTGACATAGGTTGCAGTATTAGTAGTGAGTAATTAGTTCCATACCTAAATATGAGATTTCAATCTACCTCTTTCCTAATGATTTCTCACATATATATATATATATATGTAGATTAGTGCAGATGTAAGTTAGGGATGGGCAGTGTGTCCGTTAGCTGTCTTGCATTCGAGTTCAATTCTCTACTTTTTTATATTAGATAAATTTAGAATATTACATTTAGAGATGAAATAAACCTTGAAACACTACAAGAAAAAAAAAAAACTCGACTATAGCCCAGTTTAGACAAGTTGTATTGTAAAACAAAGATTAGTATCTGTGAAACATGTATGGTTTATCAAAGGAATCCCATCAAACTTAAAAAAAGGGAAAAAAAGGGGTTAATTGTTACAAACTTGGGGTGAGTTGGGTCCGTAGATGTTTGAACTAAAATGACAAAGGGGCCCAATCCAACTTCAAGATTTCAGGCTCAATGATGAAGAAGGCAGGTACTTGGTTCGTGGGAAGAAGGAAAAGCCCGAAGAAAATAACCAAAAAAGCCCGCGCACTTCAAATCTCTTAGCGCAGCATTTTTCCATTTTTGTTGAGAATTGAGACAACCCTGAATTTTATTTTTAATTTTTTAATTTTTTGGCTGCAAAATAGACAATAATTTACACTCACAAAAATTTTTGAATTGAATATATTTGACTCTAAATTGAATTTAAAAAAGAAATATTTAGTCATATACCCATTCTTAGCACTAAAACTATAAATAAACCATATATTATTTAATTTCTATAAACAAACCCCAAAAAGAGCTACTGGACCTATTGAATTTAATTTTGATTATTAAATTATTTTGATACACTATTAAGAATTTTGGACTTTTTTATGAGGTTTCATGGTTAAATTTGATCTAAGAAATCAATGATAGTTTGTAATTTAAAAGAAGTTAAAAGCCTTTTTATTATGTTGTAAATGAGTTTTAAGTGTGTTTAAAAAGTTCATTTCTTATAAGGTTTTTTTTTCTAAAAAAAGATTTATAATTTGAACTTCTATATTGAGTATAATAGTAAATCGCTGCAAAATAATATCTCTTTGTTTCACCGAAGTGGTGAGTCACGGAGAGTGAGTCAGAAAGAGGGTCGACGTTTGAGGAAGCACAAGAGACAAAACCCTCAGAGACTCTTGGCGGATTCGCCGAAACACATAATTGGATTCATCTCTTATATTATAACACCTTAATCTCCCCCATTTTTCTTCTTCTTCTTCTTCTTTCACCTTCTAGCCTTCCTAGGGCTTCCTGCTGTAAGTTTCAATTTCTCCCGTTGTTTCCTTCATTTCGTCTCCCTCAATATTTTCTCAACTCAATACAACGTCAACCAAGAATTCGCTTTTATTGCTGTATTTAATTTAGCAAATGAATTTGGGTATTTTTTTCGTTCTTGTTTTGTGTGTGTGATTAATTTGTGGGGAGCAAAGAGGAGGGAGGGTGTTGAATGTTGATGACGTACTACTATAGCGAAAAAGACCATGGAATATTCACCCAAAAAGAACTTTCCTGTCGACCCCAAAGACTACACGTTGTACGAAGAAGTGGGTCAAGGTGTGAGCGCCACTGTCTACAGAGCTCTCTGCTTCCCACTTAATATAATCGTCGCCATCAAGGTTCTGGACTTGGAGAAATGCAACAATGACTTGGTATTTTTCATTTTCTACTCCTTCATCAACTTCCCATTCCATTTTTGCTTGTACCCATTTATGATTTTTGTGTCATTCGCAATTTCACCCACACCCACCAGGATGTCATTCGTCGTGAAGTACAAACCATGATCTTGCTTGACCATCCAAATCTGCTCAAGGCACACTGCTCTTTCACTGCTTCCAGGAGCCTCTGGATTGTCACGCCTTACATGGCTGCTGGGTCATGTCTCCACATTATGAAATCTGCTCATCCTGATGGTTTCGAACAGCCCGTTATTGCTACATTGTTGCATGGGGTTCTCAAAGCCATTGCTTATCTACATGCCCATGGCCATATTCACAGAGATGTTAAGGTATGTCAGTCAGCCGGGTATTGTGTTGTGGCCTTATTGATTTCTTCATTTGGGTTCATTTGTAAGACTAGCTTATTTGCTTTAGCTTACAACTGTTGCATTTGTGTGCTTGTTTTACAAATGTTCCATTTAGGGCTGGCCATGAGTAGCTGCATTGATACATTGTAGATTCTTTTTGGAAAAAATACATTGTACATTCGATTAAACTTTAATAAGTGCATTTATTTGCACACCTATGTATGTTTGTATAATTTCTCTATTAAGCCGAGTTTACCAAATTTATCCTATTAATTTTGGGTGAAAAGCTGGTTTCCGCAAACTTTTCGAATTGGCTTGTGATTAGGGTTGAAACATGATATATAACCTTTTAACCCTATCATTTACAGGCTGGCAATATACTTGTTGATACAAAAGGTGCGGTTAAGTTAGCGGACTTTGGAGTTTCAGCGAGCTTGTTTGATACTGGCAATAGACAACATGCAAGAAAAACATTTGTTGGAACTCCTTGCTGGTGGTGGCCTGGACCTTCCCTATCTTGATATTGTCTATTTGACTATATGGAGTTCTTTCCAAAGCATATTATGTTCGAGTCTGCTGTCTAACCCCATTTTTCCACAGGATGGCTCCGGAAGTTATGCAGCAATTGCATGGATATGACTTTAAGTGAGTGGTTAATTCGTTTACAGTTGGTCTTCTGGTAATTAATATCTGTATAGTTTAGACTAATAAATCAGTTACCAAAAAACCTAATCAACCACTTTTATTTAAATGTTTGACGGTTTATACCTGAATTCCCTGTGAAAGTATAATAACACATTCTGTGTACTTCTACATTCCATAAAACTTAACATGGATGCATAACACACACACACACACACACACACTCTCTCTCTCTCTCTCTCTCTCTCTCTCTCTTCTACGTGTCTTTGTGCGTCTGTCATGTATATAAATAAAAAACCAGTAAATGAAAGCATGAAAGTTTAAGCTCATTTTAGAAGGTGAGGTATATTAGCCCTAGATCGGTTGTTCATATTCTGATGCTGTGAATGTATTTATTTCCAATCATGCAAGAATACTCATTGATGTGTATGTTTAATGACCTTGAATTTCATTATCATTGGGCTATCTCTAAGTTTAACTTGTCATTGAAACTTGGTGGCATTTTTAAGCATATCATCTAACTAAAATACCTTCATATCCAAACAGAGCAGACATCTGGTCATTTGGGATAACAGCACTAGAACTTGCTCATGGTCATGCTCCATTTTCAAAGTATCCACCAATGAAGGTAAATCTCATGACTCGTTGAAGTTAAATTGCATGGGACATGGAGCTATTAAATCTTGGACATGCTGTACAGTGAAATTTCTTAAAATTATAAACAAAAGTGACGAAAATTCTTGCTAAGACTCTGTTTGTATCATGCACATTTGTATTAAAAACATCTATCTTACTGTCCTTTTTTTTTATACTCTTTTTTAGTATGTCCTTGTCTGTTTGTATTATTTTTATTTATGGAAGGCATGTGCTTGCCATGTCCTGGAGTAATTCCATTGGTCATGGTTTCCCTTCATATTTAATTCACGTACTTAGCTCAAAATTGTGCCTTTCTTTTCTTAGGGGAAATCATTGTTTTTATTAACTTTGGTTTGTGGTATGCCATTATTATTGCCATTGTAGGTTTTGTTAATGACCTTACAAAATGCTCCTCCTGGCCTTGACTATGAAAGGGACAAGAGATTTTCAAAGGTGTGACTCCAGTGATAATCTTTATAAAGTCACTGTTTTTACATGCTTCTCTAAACTTGATTTTCACTTGTAGTCATTTAAAGAGATAGTAGCTGCCTGCTTAGTTAAGGATCCGAAGAAGCGTCCTACTGCAGAAAAGCTTTTGAAGCACCGTTTCTTTAAACATGCACATAATAAGGAATTTATAGCTCGGACAATTCTTGACGGCCTTTCCCCCCTTGGGGATCGTTTTAGGATGTTGAAGGTTGGAATCTTCATTTCAGATTTTATAGTTTTCATAAAAATTCTACTGTCCAGTATTCTTAGTTTGTAAGTGTTTTGATGTGCCTTCTCCTTATCAGCAAAAAGAGGCTGAGTTCCTCGCACAAAATGAGGCTATGTATGGTGACAAAGACCATTTATCACAGGTAATGAATAACCTTATTTTGTAATACTTCTTTTAAATTCAAAATGGTTCATAGTCTGTATTGCTTCTTTTAAATCAAATGGTGCATACAGTTAATAACTTTTGTTTATTGCAGCAAGAGTATATGCGAGGGATCAGCGCATGGAATTTTGATCTAGAGGATTTGAAAAGACAGGCTGCTCTTGTGAGTAGGTCATTGTTCTTGATATGTTTATATGTCTTTTCTTTTTTCCTTTGTGGAATGATCTGCAAGACACTAGGAGTGGTTGATTGTAGAACTTAGTGCAGTTCACACTCTTATGAACACTATTCTCTGTGTTTAGATTGAAGATGATGATGGCATCACCATTGCAGAAAACCAAGACTGGAGCTGCAAACATAGGGGTGAATTTGGTAACTCAGCTGATGTGACGGACAGGTGATTGGGAGAAAGGTTAAATCACTTAGTTCTGCAAAATCTACACTATCTAAGGGGGTATTGATAATGTGCTAATTTGCATGCAGAGATCCCATTAATGCACGTGTAGATAGTTTCAATTTTAGTAGATCAGAATGGAAACATTCCGGCCCCGACGAAATTGAAGAAATTGTTGATTTATCACCTTCATTACAAGGAAAAGAGAGTTCTGGACTTGATAATTTGGAAAAAAGTCGCTCTTTACTAAGAAATGTTAATTCTGAAGATCCAAAGTTCTTAAGCAGTTTACCTCCATTAAAAGTTGATCATTCCCCTTCTGTGAGTGCTGATGACGGCAGGCAAGTTCAGAACTCTGGCTACTTATAAATATTTTCCTTGTTTTAAAGCAAACGTTCATCAATTTCATAATTTTTCCAGTTCTTGATATTTCCACTGGTTTATTCATAAGTACGGAGTATCAAATTTTGAATCGATTATGTATATGCGGTCTTTGCACTGTCTTGCATCAACTAATGTATGTGGATGATTGTGGTGTAACTTCTAAGAAAGCGTATTAAACAAAATTTTGCCAAGGATCTCCTTATCCACTGGTTAAGGGTTACTAGATTTTAAGTGGCACATATGTTGGGGTGCAGAGGACAAAATTATTTTTCTATTATCTATTGGATTTGAAGTGACATTTTTGTTGTGTGTAATTCTCAATGGGTTTAGCTGATTTTTTTACAATTAAAAAGATCATTGCTGTATGCATAAGATCTTTATTTGTCAAGTTTTTTAATACAATCTCTCGTGAATACAACTTATTTCAAATGCTTTTAGGAAATCTCACATACCATAACTTTTTTTTCCCTTTTACCTATATGTGTGCTGTTTCCGTCGTGTTTAGAAGTTTATTCATTTCTACTTTGATTACTTCTTTTACTACCTAGAAAACTGATTTTGATATTAAAGGCTAGTGCAATATTCTGATTTTGTTAAGCGAGGGATTTCTCAAGTATACTTATCCATCTTGTGCAGTGATCACTTGACACGTCATCAGAATAGATATGATAGTAGTTCTTTACATGGTATGCATATTTTGCTATCTATATCATTAGTTCACATCCCTTCTTGTTTAACTTGAATGTTTCTATTTCGTAGCCTAAAATCTTTGTAACTTTCTTTTTTTGGTAGCAGAGACTGCATATAAGGGGCGATTCAAAGTCACAGTGCCAGAGTCCAGTCCTAAGGTTTGCTAGCATATATTGGTTCCTTAAGTTATCATGAAAGACAGACGATGTTGTTTTCCATTCATGGCTTATATGGGATCTGCAGATGATTGAGGGAAAAATTGAAGTTTCACCACACATCTAGAGAGCCTTTAATTAATTAATTAATTTATTTCTATAAGCATTTCTCCAGTATAACCCGAACTCGTCTTCTTCTGTCCCCTTAAATCTTAATATTCAGTAAATGATTGTTTGGTTTTGGGATATTTATGTGATAGCGGTATTTTTGTGATCATTTCTAATATGTTTTTTGTTCAGGTCGCTCCAAATGGCATTACTATCCCATATTTTGGAGAATCAGCAAATTCTGTAGTTGGTACATCTGCCTCCATTCTTCCTTCGCTGCATTGTATTTTGCAGCAAAATGCCATGCAAAGGGTGCGCATCAAATAACTTTTCTTTCATCTACCTGAGAAATTGTGCTGTGGTGTTCTGATTATTTTAAATTCTGACAGGAAGAAACAATGAGATTGGTTGAAGTTGTAGATCAAATCACTGGTAGTGCTCTTGTTACTTCCAGTAATATTTTTGGGAATTTTTAAACAATGATGTTCTTGTATTCTATATCTTAACATTGCTGTATTTGCTTGAATTTGCTCAATGGAAGGCAATCATACGGAGTTAGCGGAGGCAGTAACCAATAATAAACACATGCAGGTATTAGTTATCTTATTGGGCTTCTGAACCTGTACATTAAGTTAGGGAAGACGAGGTGTAGTTTGCAGTTAGTATACTCCAGAGTCCAGACATACTTATGTTGATTATTTTGTCATGCTGTTGCAGATGTCTCTGGCTTCTGCAAGAGAGAGAGTCTTAGAGTATCATGTCATTGGTATTCAAAGCAAGTATGTGAGATTCCATCTATGCATTTCCAATAAGCATATCCATTTGATAAATTATCTTGTTTGAAATCTTGTTTGGATCTCTTATCAGAATCGACAGACTAGTTGAAGAGTTGCGCATACAGAAGATGAAAAATGCCAAGGTTTGTACCCTATTACTGGACTTTTGCCTGATTATTTCTGCACACCGTGTTAATAAGTTTTCCATAATTAAAGCCTGCGTGGCATATGTGAATAATTTATTTGGAGTTGATTGATTTTAAGTTATTAGTTGTGGGGAAAAGGTTCACTAGTAACAGTGTGCAAAAAGGAGTTTAAATTGATTTTAGTTGTGTTTTTCTTACACAGCTGGAAGGGCAACTAAGTGCTGTGATTGATAAGGAGTAGAAGTTGTGAGGCCTCCTTTCCTTGCACAGAAGACGATTTTATATTTGGTTCTTGTTAGGAAAAAGCTTCACTCTATATATCGGCAGTCGATTTTTCGTGTACACTGATAAATGGTAAATTTTCGATGTCATACATTATTGTAAACAGTCGATATGTATAAAAACTCTTCTGTAAACTAATCTTTTTTTATCTAAGAAAAAAGTTGAGCATTCGGTTTTCTTTGTTGGCTAAAAATATAATTCATGAAACTCGTATCCAATGAGAATGGGTTTGCAGTGATGCCCCTCTTGCAAGAACAGTCCAGGTCTACCTTTTTGATTCACATTTTTTGTTTCATCTCTATTCTCGCTCTCTATTGCCAAAAACAAAACCCTTGAATCTTTTTGTTTTGTAATTAATAAAATATAAAAAAAGTACACGTTTAATTATAATAATAAGAAATTAAAAGCACATTAATTATAATTAATTTATAAAAATGAGGTAGAAACCTTGCTTAACAAGAAATTGTGTCATTGTCAGCCGGCTAAAGAGACGACACAAAAGTCAATAAAGAAAGCGGCCACTTGCTTGCCAAGCCCTCTCGTTTTGTTTGGGCTTATATCCTATTTACGCCATAAAAAAAGAAACCGGCCAGTTGTGAACAGAAACAGTATTCACACTGATGAAGAAGCCCAATATGCACTTCTTTCTATTGCTAATTCTCAAATTCAGTCATGGCTGACACCACCAACATACACAGAGAAGAACCAGAAACCAATTTGAATTTGTATTTTGGAGTTCATTACAGAGCAATCAACGGGAATTGATGCAATGAAGAAGAAGACTCTGAATCCAGTTTGAATTTTTGCTAACATGGACAAAAGAAAAGGAAAAACCTTTGGGTTGGGTGTTCAAAAACCATATCTAATCTTTGTATCCAAAAGAAAGAAAACTAAAGGGCTGAGGCTTCTTGCTGAACAAAGAACTACACCAGCGCTACACAGTTCTCTTGGCACTGGCCGGATGGAGGCTCTTGCTTCTGAAACCTTTAATCACTTGGATCAACAAATTGTCACCAACTATCTGCCTCACTTTCCGTATCAGCTGTGGACGCGTAATCCTCTTTGCCTGCAATCAATCCGATACACACATAAGCAAATAATGAATCAAACTGCCAAGAAGATTGACATATAAGAAACAGAAATACCAAACTACTTACTCTGAATTCGTTGTGAGATTTGACAATCAATAGCATTTTAGGAGGAGGCAAGAACTTCGCAAGCGTGAACATCAGAGCAGGGAAAGTCACCCATGGTGATGTGGGTTTTGAAGTATTCGCCTGCCTTGGTTGAATACCTGGTTGAATGCCTGAGACAACTGAACATACCAACTCAAAGTTAAAACCCAAAATCTCCAATTGTTCATATAAACAGAGAAAGCAAAAGCAACCAATTCAAAATTCAAAATAAAAGTACTAACCATTTGGGCTAGGAGCCTTGAAGCTGACCACATAAACAGGAAAAATGTGAGAGTTCATGAAAGCACTCCACACAACATATCTTCTAGGAAACTGAAGATTGTCCACGCCAGTGTCCATCTCCTTGGAACTGGGATGAGATTGCTTCGAGCCTGGAGCCACCGTTTCCATCTTCCCCAATATCACACGGCACAGTAGCATGTGCCTTAGCCCTCCTTCATCAACAGCTGACGACAATGCACTGTAACAATGGTCAAGGAATGCTTTAATAAAATTTCAAAATCTTTAAAGTTCTCTGCTTTCTCAAAGACCGACCAGAAACAAGATATGGGTGCTAATAAAACTACAGAGAAAATTAAAAACCATATCAAACTTACCCATCATAAGCAAAGACAGGACTAAACAGATGAACGCCAACGCCATAAGATTGCTCATTTGGGGCAGGCTCTCTGCACCGACTGAATCCATGAACCAAAATCTCACAAAGCTCATCTTTTGATCCACCATACCAAGCATACTTAACTTTGGCATCCCCACCACATTTCTGAGCCACCGCCTGAGAGAAAATCTTGAACGACTCAAACCTCGCTTGTCTTGTCAAATCAGAGCTCACGTTCTTGTGTATGGCCACAAGATTGGTGTCTCCTCCAGCGAAACCCATGCCCGAAAGAAAGCACGTCTTGATGATGTCATGAGCCGAATTCTCTTCCTCCAACCGGATCATCCCGTTCCGAGTGAAAACATCAAACCGATCCGAAACAGCGGAATTGGAATCGCCGCAATCGGACTCATAACCCGAAATTTCGTCATCATCAACAGTCATTGAGACTTGGTCTTCAAAATCGCTTTGATTGGCCGACATCTCTGCTGCAAACTTAAAAACTAAGCTATTTGGATCAACGAGAATTGATATTACAATAACTCTGTACACCGAAACTACGAACAAACGAAGGTGCAGATTTCTGAAGCAAGAAAGGGTTCAAGATCAAGATGTCTGAGGATATTTGTCCCGCAGATATTTATAGAGAGAGAACTCTGCGATGCTTTTGGATTTCAAATTCCTTTGAGAGGCGGTTTTGATAGAGTTGCCGTGCCGCAGTTTGTATTTATAGTTCTCTGGCGGTGGAAGCTTTTCGTGGCCTCTAGGAAATAAGAATGAGTTTCAAAATTGCCCTACCAATCTCGCCCGACAAATGACCGTTATGCGTACCGTTGACAGGGGTATTATAGGTATTTCGTCGAAAGATGGGAGGGTGGTTTGGTAAATTTGAAAATTTAATGCTAGTCATGCGAGACGTGGGTTGTTTCTTTCGCTTACTTCCAAAGCAAGTTCTTCCTACTCGTAGTAGGATTTGGTTTCCTAAAGCCATTAGGAATCCGAACAAATAAATGAATAAAATAAATAAATAAATAAATAAATAAATAAATAAAAAAGTAAAATAAAAGTAGTTGGGTTGGACCCTAGCCATTCATTTTGTTTTTTATTTTTATTTATGTCAAATATCACCCTGAATTATCATGCTTGTTGAAATCAACACCCAATTTTTTTTTCTTCAGCTGATTTAGTCATTGGATGGAGAGGCGGTGAGGAAGCCATGGTTGATGCTTGAGGCTAACAAGCCTTGCCCTCCTAACTTGAACCACGAGCGGCCATCTGGCGCGGAAGGAGTGGATATGATCGGATCAATGCAATTGGGGGTGTTGGTTGCTTGAGTGATGGTTTTGGTTCCAATGGGCATGATTGGTCCCATAAATTCGTAGACACTTCCTCTGCTGTGGTAGCCATAGTCTTCAACCACTCTTCGCTCTATTAGAAAACGCAAAAGCCTCGTCAGTGACCATCACTTTCATTCCTCGAAGTTCCTCATCAAAGCCTATCTCCACCCATATTCGCTCCTTGTCATCATCGATGTCATTACCTTATATGATGTCTGCATCATCTACTTCAATTGTCCATTCAAGACTAAGAAGAATGTTGATGCTAGAGTTAGAGAATTGAAGAAATGTGATAACAGTGGAGGAAGAATAGAAGAAAAGGCAGAGATGAAGAAGAAGAAGAATATCTGAAAGAATGTTTATGATTTCATTTATGTTAATCTGTATTGTTACAATGAACTGAATATCTTATAGCAGCTAACACATTGCTAACCGACTCAACAAAGAGCATGTGCCTTACACATGACTCATTAACTAACTAACTTAGTCTTTACATTTAACATTCCGCTTCAAACCTAATCCGATTCCTCTGACTTAGATGGGGTACCAAGCCTCATATTTCGACAATGTTGCACAAAGATAGGACTGTGAAGTCCATTTGTAAATATGTATGCAAGTTGCTCTTTTATAGGAATGTATTGCACAACTAAATCCGTCTTTTGCACCCTTTCACGAACAAAGTGAAAGTCTATGTCAAGGTATTTGATTATGGAGTGATATAGTGGATTCGAACTTAGTGCTAAGGTTGACAAATTATCACAGTTGATGAGTGGCAGTTGGGGCAAATATATCCTCAAATCCTACAATACATGTCTAATCCAAGCCAACTTTGCTGAAGTATTTGCAAGAGCCCTATAATCAGTCTTTGTTGAGCACAAAACTTTGTTTTTTGGAGTGCCATGAAACTGGATTTCTTCCTAAAATCACTACAAATAAAGTAGTTGATCTCTTTGTATTGATGTATGTTGCCAGTCTTCATCACTGTAGGTAGTTAAATCACAAGAGCCACAAGTAAAACTGATTCCATAATCCAAAGTTCCTTGAACGTATCTGAGTATTCTTTTGACTAGATGAAAATGAGCATCAGTTGGTGTAGTCATATGCTGACAAACGGAATTCACTGGATATGACAAGCCTGGCCTGACAAAAGTCAAATACTGTAATGCATCTACAATGTTTTTATACATAGTAGGATTAGATAACGGTTCACCATCCTGTCTTTGAAACCTGATTATGAGGCTTACGAGGAGTGGGAAAAGCTCTACAAGTGCTAATTCAAGCTTTGTTCGACAATTCTTTAGCATACTTGACTTGGTTTACAAAAATATCTCATGTTGTGTTGTATGAGGCCTGTAATCCTGGTTATGTTTTTCATTTCAAACACTGAACTCATATAGTTAATCACATATTGAACCATCTCATCATTAGACCTGTGAGGATAATATCATCTACATATAACAAAAGCATGACAATATTTGTGCCATCATGTTTAACAAATAGACTCGGATATGAATGAGAGGATTGAAAGCCTATAGCTGGTAAGTAACCTGTGAATTTGGCATTCCCTTTTGAAGCCTGTTTCAAGCCATATAGAGATTTATGAAGTTTTCATACACTCTCAGGGTGAACAGAATCTTTGAAACCTTCTGGTTGACGCATGTAAACTTCCTCTTCTAGATCTCCATGTAAAAATGCATTTTTAACATCCAATTGTCTTAACTTCCATTTATTCATGGCATCGATATTGAGAATAAGTCGCACAGTAGTCTATGTCACCACTGGACTAAAAGTATCTCCAAAATCGCATCCTAGCTCTTGACTAAAGCCTTGTGCTACAAGTCGAGCTTTGTAGCCTGGTGCAAGCCTAAAAATACACACTGAATATTTTAAGGTTGTAGCTTGTGAATATTATAAGGTCGAGTATAAGGGAAAATTGCAGTACCAAACACCCTTAAAGTGGAAATCTCAGGATGTTTACCAAAAAAACTTAAAATAAGAAGAATGATTATTCAACTGAACAGTAGGCATCCTATTTATGAGATAAGCAGCATGCGTAATAGAGTGAAACCAGAATCTACCAGGTAAAGATGTTGCAGTTAACAATGTAATAGTTGTTTCAATCAAATGTAGATTCTTCCTCTCGGCCAAACCATTCTGCTGGAGTGTGTAGGGACAAGAAAATTGATGAACAATCCCTTTAGATTCAAGAAAGTCAATAAACACTTTGTTTCTATATTCTTAATCACCATCAGATTGAAAACACTTGATATGAGCATTAAATTGATCCTGAAAAAATGCATAGAACTTAAGAAACTTGGAGAAAACTTCTGATTTATTATAGAGAGGAGAAATCCACAAGTAACCAATACATTTATCGATAAAGGTAACAAAGCACCTATAGCCATCTATGGACTTAAAATGAGAGGGACCCCATACATCACTATGGACTTGATGAAAAGGTATCTCTATCTTCACATGAGTTTGAGAAAATGGCAGCTTGTGCATTTTCTCTTGTAGACAAGAAAAGCATAGAAACGATTGAGAATCATCTGGGCACTTAATATCTGAAGCCTTGAGCATTAGTTGCACAACTTAATTAGTAGGATGGCCTAATCTATGAGGCTACAAAGAAGTCTTGACGTGTTGTCCAAGAAAAGCAATTGAAGGAGTTGAAACCAATGGAGATATTGGTGTAGAGGCTGGGTGAGAATTCTGGAATGAAGAGGAACCTTGTGAAGAAACTTGATGTAAGATATGCTATGGAGAAACATACAGAATGAGGTATAGACCGTTGTTATTCTTGCCCCGAAGTAGAACTTGATTGGTTAACCTATCTTGTATACAAAAACTAGAAGCATCAAAGGTAATGAGGCAAATATTATTCTTGCACAACTGATGAACTGATAACAAGTTAGCTTTGAGCTGAGGAACATGAAAAATAATAGGAAGTTTAAGGCAAGAAGAAATAGCAGCATGGCCAATATGGTTAATTGCCAAACCTTCCCCATTACCAACTGTCACTTGCTTAATTGAATCACAATGAGTTGCATTATTGAGACGAGAAACATCAGAAACCATGTGATGTGATACACCACTGTCAACAATCCACACTTGCTTTGGAGAGTAGAAGGTATGTGCAGTCATAGCTGACAACTACAAAAGATGGTCCTTGCCCTTGATATGCATAATTGGATCTATGAAAACAGTCCAAAGCACCATGCCCACACTTCCACAAATTTTGCATTCAACAACATAACATGAAGGCTTAAAATTGCCATTAACATGCCTATGATTGCAATTAGCAGCGGTATGACCACGTTTGCCACAAATTTGACACTCTGGGACAAAAAATGACTTATGAGCAGAAGAAAAACCAGAATGACCTCCTGAAAAGTGCTGACCATGAAACTTGTTATGAGAAAATTTCCTTATACCATAGGAAGCATTAGAGGCATTGCTACCACTAGAAAAAGATCGAGAACTAGAATAACCTTGACCATGAGAAAAACGATGATTTGATCTACTGGAGTTGCCAAGAAAGCCAACATGAGGAGTAGGTAGTAATCCTATACCAAAAACAGTGCTAGAAGACAAAGAATGAGAAGCCACCATTGCTGTATGAGATGAAATTCATGCTTCTGTAGTCTGTTCAACAACCAACAACTGCGCTCGAAAATCTATTGATGAATCACGAGCAATAAGAATCGTCTTAATCATGTCATATTCATAAGGGAGACCATTAAGAGCAGAGATCATGAAGTCATTGTCAGAGATCTTAATTGCAGCATAAGCTAATTGATCACGAATGTGTTTGAGTATCAGGAGATAACGTTCTATTGTATCAACTCCCTTTTGAGTGGTCTGCAACTCGGTTTTCAAGTGATTGATTCTCGCATGAGAAACTGACGCATAGTGATCGAAAAGATGAAGCCAAGCCTTATGAGCAGTCTTGCCTCCAATGACATATTCGAGAACTTCATCAGATAAAGTGGCGATCATCAAGTTAAGAAAATCCTTGTTAGTGTGAATCCAATTCTTGTAGACAACGGTAATTTCAAAGGTCCCTCCTTCCTCGTCAACAATTGCAAATTTGGGAGGAGGAACGATAGTACCATCAAAATGGCAAAAAAGATCGTAACCTTGAAGCACGGATTTGAGTTGAAAACTTCATTTTAGGAAGTTATCCTCACCAAGACCAATAGTAATAATACCCAAGAGACCTTCAACTGTGGTTACAGAAGATGCCATTGAAAATATCAAACCCTAAATAGAAGATGAGAAAAGGAGATTTGGCACAATTGTTTCAGAGAAATTTACAGAACAGAGGAGAAGAGGCAAGAGTCAAGAATCAGGAAACATAAATCCCCAATTTTAAAGAACCCTAACTTTCAAGATTGAGAAATAACTTCTAAGAGTGAAAGTAGAATCTGAATCCACACATGAAGACGAAGAAGAAATCAAGTGGAAGCAACAATGTCGAAGAACATAAGAAAAGGAAGAGATGAAGAAGAATAATAATCTAGAAGAAGAATATTTGAGAGAATGTTTCAGATTTCATTTATGTTAATCTGTATTGTTACAATGAATCGAATCTCTTATAGTAGCTAACACACTGCTAATCGACTCAATAGAGAGCACGTGCCTTACATATGACTCATTAACTAACTAACTCAGTCTTTACATGAAACAAAATAGAGTCTCCGAGTAAATTAGATTCAATCATCAGATATGAAAGTCGTCTTCTTGTCGCTCTGATTCGCACCTAAAAATACCCTAAATTTGACCTCCATCTTCTTCTTCTTCCTCCTCCTCCTAAGGTCACAGTTACCCAATAAATGCTATTTTAATTTTAATAATTATTATTTTGTTCTTTTTTCTCTTTTATTTTTATGTATTAGATGAGATTACCCTCAAAAGTTCAGGCATATGGCATTCACCTGATTTTTTAACATACATTTAGATTTAATTTATTAAAAACTAACAGTGGGGAGTAAATTAACGATAAAATTTAATATAAGGGCTAAATTGGCTAAAAAAATAGTTAAGTGTGATAATTTCGACAAACGTAATAGTTAAGGGGGTATTTAGTAAAAAAACCCTTATTTTTTGGCAAAAGCCATTCATTTAGCATGAGATTCGGTATATGGTCCACTAGCACATGTGCGCTAAAACTTTATAGAACTGCTTGGCACGTGTGATATAAAAAACAAAACTGTGTTTCTCTTGTGTGCATATGACATGCCTTTTTCCTTCTTTTTCTTTTGCCCCAAGCAATAAAAAAGAAGTTTCAACGGATACTCTACGAATCCTAAAATCATACAAATCAAACTCTAATTCAAACCACGTTGTAGGAGAAAATTTACAAAACCAAATACAAAGATGATTATATATCACCATATGCAACCATAGTTGTTTTTCGAAAATATCTCGAATATAAAAATTTGAAATAGAGTTTGATTCCAGAATTCATGGCTAGTTTCCATTTACAAGCACACTCTTCGTATCTGAAATTGTTGAACAGATAGAATTAATAAGGATAAACAACATTATCTTCTGCTAATATTTATACTTAGGGAAGAAACTGCCACCTCATCCTGTTGGGCCCCATCTAGCCACCGTCCAGTTTAGGTTGCGCGGTAACCCGAAATTGAAGGAGGAGCAGTGACTTAAAAATTAAAGTAAAAAAGAAAAAGAGGGAGAGCGACAGTTCGGGTTTTAACTTTTTAACCAACCTAAAAAAAAACCCGCGGTTTACAACCAATATTTAGAGATATCAAAACACATTGAAACAAAAACCTTAATAAGAAAAAACCAAGCGAGAATTTGTCGGGATAGTTATTTTTTTTTCCTTCTTTTTCCCGTCAATTTGTTTCTTATTTTTATTTTTGTCGTTTTGGTGGATTGGTGGTGGTGTGGGTGGTCTTGAATGGTTTTCAGTTCTCACACAACCACCCCGAACCTCTGTTTCTCTCTGTCTCTCTGTCTCTCTGTTTCTGTTCTTCTCCTTGATAGATTTCTTTCATTAGAATTTGAGAGCTAGATTAATTCGCACGTGCGTGCATGGTTAGTGCGCGCCATTTGTACGTGAAGTTGCAGAACCCATGCAAACCTATCCAACGTAAAAGTTGCATTGCATGTGCAGGTTCTTGTTGCTTTTCATTTTTGGCGTTGTATGGAAACTTTGCCTTATTGCCTTTTATATAGGGTTGGTTTTCGGTCAAGGTTATTTCATACTTTTGATGATTCTTCTTCTGCTTCTGCTTCTTCTTTAATCTATTTTCTTTTCTGGTTCTCATTAATTTTGGTGGAATTACAGAGAAAACTTGAAAGGACGAAAAGTTGATAGAACGATAAAGGAGGAGGAGAGGTACTCATTGATAAAGGGAAGGAGAATTATGGAAGAAACTGATGAACCTCATCCTCCTGACGAACAACAAGCGAGCTCGACGCAGCATGACCAGACCAATGGATCGCCGCCGCCGCATGAGCAGAGTCCCGAGCAGAACAAAGAACCGCCAGCAAACACCCCAACTCCACCATCATCACCGCCGCCTGCGCAAGCCGCGCCGGCTCCAAAATCAGAGACTCCGCCTCCATCATCTCCGCCGCCTGCTCCGAAAGCTTCTCCACCTCCTAAAGCTGCACCGCCTCCGTCATCTCCGCCACCATCATCTCCTCCGCCTGCATCACCGCCGCCGTCTTCTCCACCTCCAAATTCACCACCACCGTCTTCTCCACCACCAAAGGCACCCACCCCTTCTCCTCCTCCCCACTCGCCACCACCGTCAACATCATCATCAGGAACACCACCTTCAGGAACACCACCTTCTGCTCCAGCTCCTCCTCCTAGTACTACTCCTAATAAAGCTCCTGCACCATCCTCCGGTGGTTCGTCATCTCCATCACCTCCAACTGATTCGTCACAACAAGGAGGCTCTCCTCAATCCCCACCCACTGACTCTCAGTCCCCTCCAGCATCCCCCCCACCTCCGGCGAACCCTGACGGCACAATCCCAACCACCAACTCCACCGCCCTATCTCCTCCTAACGTTCCTATCCCTCCAACAGTTTCAGGAACCACACCTCAGCCCCCTCCTCTGTCTTCTAATTCCACCCCCACACTGTCCCCTCCCTCAAACTTAAATTCAAGTAAGTCTTCAGAGGACACGGGAGGAAGTAGCAGTAGGCATACGGGCACTGTTGTGGGGTTGACTCTAGCTGGAGTTTTCCTCGTTGCCTTGCTAGCTCTCATTTTTTTGTTCATAAGGAGGAGAAAGAAGCAGGCCCAAGTATATCCCCCCAATTACTTGCCTCCCACCCCTGGTCCTCCTGGCAGTAACTTATCGGGTACGCGAAAAGATTGTTGGCTAATCGATATACAAAATACATCAAGATCAATGTTGTGCCTAGACTATGTGGTTAAAGAGTCTTAAATTTTGTGGTGGTGCAGGTGGATATTATCTTGCGCAGCAACAGAGTCCTGCAACTTCTGGTCCCACAGAAAGCTTCTATTCAAGTGGGCCGCCGGGACGTTCTTCTTTAGATAATAGCTATCAAGCGCACAGTGGAGATTCTGGTCTCATAGCTGCTACTAAAGTCCATTTCACGTATGAAGAGTTAATGGAGATAACCAATGGATTTTCTCGTCAAAATGTTCTTGGTGAGGGTGGTTTTGGATGTGTTTACAAGGGTTGGTTGCCGGAAGGGAGAGTTGTGGCAGTGAAGCAGCTTAAGGCTGGTAGTGGGCAGGGAGAGAAGGAATTCAGGGCAGAAGTTGAGATTATTAGTCGCGTGCATCATCGTCACCTGGTCTCGTTGGTGGGATATTGCATCTCTGACAATCAAAGATTGCTTATATATGAATTTGTTCCCAATAAAACTCTTGAGCACCATTTGCATGGTATGTGATTGATACCAAAAACAAAAAAAAAAGCTCTGCTTTTGATGACATCTTTTACTTGTCATATATTTGGGTTCTTGTGTTCTCTTTGTCAAAATGTTGATTTGTGATGATTTCAGGTGCCGGAATGCCGGTGTTGGAATGGACCAGAAGAATGAAGATTGCTTTGGGGTCTGCAAAGGGATTGGCGTATTTACATGAAGATTGTATGTACCTGTGCTGCGGCATTCTCTCCTCACTAGTTTATACTATTAAAAATGGAAGTGCTCTCTTTGTGACTTTGTGCGCAAGTAAACTGATACATTCAATACTGAATTTCTCTTCCAATCCATATTATCTGATTTTGTCTTGTTCTCCTTGCTTGATCTGTTTCTAGGTCATCCAAAAATTATTCACAGAGATATTAAATCAGCAAACATTCTGTTGGATGATGTTTTTGAGGCACAGGCATGTCTATCCAGTCCTGTTCTTTTGTTGAACTTAATTCTTCTGATGCTACCCCAAGATTTTAGTTAATTTGGTGAAATGGCCAGTGGGGTTCTAGTTTCTGATTTTAGAATTTCTTCGAGCACAGGTTGCAGACTTTGGGCTTGCCAAACTTACAAACGATACTAATACTCACGTTTCGACTCGAGTCATGGGAACATTTGGGTAAGCAAGAGCTGGGTGGAAATATAATATTGTACTGCTTAAGACCGTTCCTTGGAATTTATGTTCAAGTTGGCTTTCAGGTACATGGCACCTGAGTATGCATCAAGTGGGAAATTGACAGACAGATCAGATGTGTTCTCATTTGGAGTTGTGCTTCTAGAGCTTGTAACGGGGCGTAAACCTGTTGACACGAGTCAGCCTCTGGGGGATGAGAGTTTGGTTGAATGGGTAAGGACATCTTTTACCTCTCTATAACATGTTACAAATTAGTTGTTCACAATTCAAGAACGTGCTGTCCAAAATTTGGCAGGCTCGTCCGATCCTCCTTAAAGCCCTTGAAACTGGGGACTTGAGTGAATTGGTGGATCCTCGGCTTGAGAAGCATTACGTGGAGGGTGAAATGATCAGAATGATTGAGGCAGCTGCGGCATGCGTGCGTCATTCTGCTCTTAAACGACCAAGGATGGCTCAGGTGATACTAATAAGAAGCAGCACTAGTAGAAGTAGTTGATTTGCTTCTTTTTCAGGCTTGAGCCAGTCTAATTTCAAATTGTTTTTCAGGTGGTGAGAGCATTGGACTGCGAAGGTGAATTGTCTGATCTGTGCAATGGAGTGAAAGTTGGGCAGAGCACTGCATATGACTCTGGGCAGTACAATGAAGACATTGTGAGATTCAGGAGAACGGCATTAGGCAGCGAAGGCAGCTCAGAGTATGAAATGTCAAGCAGAGAGTTCACCACCAGAGAAATATCTGGACCCCAAAGTGTATGGACTCGCCCCGATTCAAGCGACGAATCAGAAACTCGAGCCTTTACAACCCGCAGTGGTGAGAAGGGACTTAGCGGCACTCAAGGCAGACACAACTTCTAATTTCTGAATGTTAATCTAGTCCATGGTGCACACCAGAGAGAGAGAGAGAGAGAGAGAGAGAGAGAGAGAGAGAGAGAGAGAGAGAGAGAGAAAGACTGCACTCAGTTTTTTTAAGATAAAAAAAGAAAAGAACAGAAAAAAAAACACCCTTGTTTGACTTAATCTGACATATTAGTGTGTAAATTAAGGCTAAGCTGCTGCTTCTTTTTTCTTTTTCATTTTTCCTTGATGAAAGGCACTATATTCTCTAGTTCCCTCAAAGCATTAGCAGCGGGGAAGCTTGTAAAGTTTACTCAAGCTGCTTTTTAGTCATTAATATAAAACAATCTGTATTGATAGTAGAGCAATAAGATTTCAGTTTGCTCATATATATTAGCCTCCAGAACTTCCATACTTATGATCATCAAAAAGAAAAAGAACATGTCTAAAGCAGATATTCGTGCAACGAACATGTCTAAAGGAATTATCTAGGTGTCCTTAGTTGAAAATGAAATCTTCACTTCAAAATCGATGATAATCTGTCAATTTATGCCTTTGTGAACTGTCTGATTTGTCTCCCGTGTTAGCTGGATCAACTTGTCTCTCAATTTCTTTGCCTGAATGTCTCTGTTTGCCTATGGTACGGACAAACGCATTGCAAGTAAATGTTAGAAAAGTGATCAAAGAAATTGTTCTTACTTGCTATTGACATGATTTCTTATGATAGTTTCAAATATAAGCAGAAGTTTCTTTCTCAGAATCTTACCTGAACCTTAAGGATGTTTAGGACATTTCCGTCAAATGTGGTAACATTGGCATCAACTACTTGAAGCCCTAAAGAATCCATATTCTCCATCAAACTTGCAAACCCACCTCGGCTCTGCTCATAGAACAACTTAATCAAACAATCTCTTTTGCCAATCTGGTTCACTTCCACTTGCACCTAAGAGACAAGGTGGCACGTAAATGAACAGAACATTTGATACATTATGCATAGTAGGGATCGTGAACTCTTTCACTAAATCAGCAGACATATACTGAATGCATAAGTTGGAACAAGAGTAACTGCTTAAGTGTGATGCTAAATTCATAAGTACTCATACCGCTGTTGGACTCTTTTGAACAAAACTAGAGGAACCCTGTTTGTGCTCTGTAGAAATCAAGCAAATGCTGCCTTCTTTTCTCGTGTCTGAGGCCAGAATTTTCACATCTGCTTTGTTCCTTGTCAAGTCCTCCTCCTCTTCGATTTCCCTGAGCTCATCTTCAAGTTCTTTCACCTTCTTCTTTAACTCTTCAATATATTCAACGGCATCTCCTATAATAGCAGGTATATCCATCTACAAGAAGTCAATAAACGAATAACAAGACCAAATGTTAGTAAGATCAAAGAAAAAAGAGGTTGTTCCTGGAGTCTTTCACAGATAAGATGATCTTAACCTTGCTTATCTTCGGGACTAGAGCACGTAGAGCAAAGTGTCCATCTTTAATCCTGCTCCTCCTATTCCTCTCTGCGAAAAGATTCTTGGATTGGTACTGCCCGCTTCCTGTCTTCCTGGTCACCTTTGCCTTATGTTTCTCTACTACACTGCCACTGCCAGAAGCCAAGCCTGCCTGTTGCTGCAACAAGTTGTCACCACGCCTGGACTTTCTAGAGCGCGAAGATAACAATGGATGTTCACTCGAAGGATTTGAACCGCTGGATGATCCCTCAAGGATAGGACAGGAGGTAGTTTGGGAAACTGATGAGGGGAAAACTTGTGGCCCGGGAATGAAGTTTGCCAAATTCAAAGAAGGTAGCAACTTTTCTGGGCACTCTTCTGGCAATGGATCAACATGGAATTCATTAAGGCTTGCACTGGCATTGAGGTTCACATTGGCATAGTCATGTGTAGCCATGGGTTCTTGTTTTAAAGAGTTATTGAATGGGGCCATAAACAACTCTAACATCTTTTGATTTTCAGGAATCTGAAAAGTGAACTTCATGTTATTCAAAGTTGGACGAGAAAATATAAAGAGAAATAAAAACCTTACATTCTTTGTGGAAAAGAGCTCAATGAGGTCACTTAGCACAGGGATCAACACTCGGGTACCAACGTAGTCCTGTCAAAACAACATTAGTCCATGTTAAGCAGAATGTCTATGCTATTTAAGATCCATCTACTGCATATAATAAACAATTCATAGAGGCACTTTGAGGAGCCTTGGAGCTGTGGGTCTTTGTTTCTAGGAAACTGGGTTTGGGATAGAGAGCAGAGAGTGGGTGATTCTAAAATTTTCAATAAAAGCTAAAGCAGTGAAAACAATACAACTATTTCCACGGTCTCGTCTTAAAAAAGTGGTCTTTTTCAACCTTTACAATGATGATTTGTTGATTGTGATGTGGCCAACCTCAAAAGCCCATATTAAGAAACTCAAAACTGTTTGGTTGCTGAGAAAAAGTCATCAGAAAAGAACGAAGTGAGAGGCATTTTGGGTTACCCACGTGTGATTGTGAAGGATTTGAACCCGAGGCATTGACATGACCACTAAGCCACCTGGGTTGTGCTGATATGATCACCTCCGTATGAATCCTGAGTTCAATCTCACATATCAGAAACAAAAAATCTCTTGGTCTGTTCACGCCAAAACTCAAACACATAAAATGCGAGCCAAAATCAGAGACTTTACCCAGAGTAGAGAGGCATAGAAGAAGGCAGCTGGGCAAGAGCCTCACAAGCCTTTGTCCTAATTGGGTGCTTAAGGAAGCCATCCCTGCAAAGTTTAGCAGAGTGGGACTCTCCTTCTTCCTCTTTGACATTAACAGAGTCATATTCATACCCACCACCACAACAGCAACCCATCATTTCAATAAACCTACAAATTTCAGCAAACACACAAAAAGTTCAACAGATTCAAAAAAAGATGGAAACTTTTGATGTGGGTTTTATTGGAAATAGCTGATGATATTACCTAGAGGGATCATCGCCAAGTTTCCACACAACACAATAGTCCCATTGCTTGGACTCAACAAGGGGTCTAAGCGACTCAGCAACTCCCTCCAAATTTCTCATGATTTGTCTCCTTTTGCAATACTTGCAGTGAGTGAGTCCAAGACTAATTGTGTAAGCTTTGCCTTGTGTAGTGAGTTTAGTGAGTGGCGAAGATATATTAGTGTGGCACTGACCGACTTACCATGTTGCTTTTATATAACAGGTTCAACCCAAATAATTTGAAGGCACATGGTACACGACAATGCTAACCAACTCCTCTGCTTTTGAATTGGGAGTGTATCGTTTTACTCAGAGGCAAATCTGTGACAGGGGGAATCTGATACCAGCAGGGAAGAGAGAGAGAGAGAGAAAGAGTGAGAGCTAGCAGAGACAGTTTTGACTGACTACCAAAATCATTTTACAAAACGACCATCGAATGGTTCAAAAGCTCCAATGGAATTGAAAGCTACCCATAACTGAAAATATTTCATTTCTTGGGCAAAAAGAATGTGGGTAATTGGGTTCATGACACCTTGCATTTATAATTTTGTTCATATACACATAATCTTTTAAGTGCTGAAGCAGTCTTTAAGCTTAATTGCTGGAATTGTTAGACAGAAAATTGTTTTCAATTTCAATGCAACAGCAAACCAGTCATATACTTTAATTGTGCAAAGAAATCTGGTATTGAAATCCACATTTGTGTCAAAATCACCTTGTAAGGCTTGTATAGTTGAGGGTGGCGGTGGATAAAAATAAAATTGTGGGGCAAAGAATATTTGCACAGTATGGTATATATCCGTATATGTTGTCTGCCTTAGCAGGACGGTTACAGTTCTCTGATAATTCCTCAACTACCAGTACATCTGCTGGAGGCGGTTGTCTACGGAAAAGCTAGTCACAGAATTGAGGTCTTGATGGGCCTCAGGCCCAGATACTTTATGACAGCCCACAAAGCCCAGTTGAAATGCTTAGATACCCTTGTGGGTTAGGTTTTCTGCATTCAACTTGACATTCTTTCTTTTATGAGATTAATTGCTTTTATCAGAGCCTTTGTTTTGTTACTGATGAGGGTTTAGTCTTTGCCTCAAGAACATATCAATGGAAAATCACATGCAATGATTATGTACGTTTGTATCACAATACCTTATAACATCATTACGTATCAATGCTTTTAAGGAAGTTGCAGAGTTGGAAATTATAAATAATAAAAAAGGAAAAAAAAACAGAGAAGAACAGAGAAAACGAGAGGACTAATTTAATTTTGACAGATATGCCAATCCAGCTACTACAAGTTACTGATGATCCCATCCTTACGTGTGACATTATCATGCAATTCATCCAGTGGCTCGGGGCTCTCCAATCACAACATGATCACCAGGCTGCTTCATTTCACCTTTCATGTGAATGTGATGATCACCATTTCCATGATGTGGTTTGCTGTGATTGTTCATGTATCCTCTGCTCTCTGATCTGCTGCCATTGCCATTTGGGATTTTCTTCTCAAACCCGAATTCGATGTCTGCGTCTTTTGGGGCACGAAAGCTGGGATTATTATTATTCCCAAACTCCATGCGGTTATGATCCACTACAGCTTCTTTTTTGCTGGGACGAAAGTTGTGCGCCGGTTGCTTGTTGGGTTTTGAGTTGTGGAGGCGGCGGTTGCAGAGCCGTCCAAGAAAGCAAGCAATGGCTGATATGACAACTATAACGGCCAGCACAATGAAAACCGTCCCAAATGAGCCATTTGAATGGTGGGAAGACGACGGCTGTCCTCTCACGTTGTTTGGGTAAACAAGAGCAGGCTGTTGTTGCTGAGGCTGCAAGGAGGACATGGTGATGATGGTTTTTGATTTGCCACTTGGGGATTGGGATTGGGATAAAACAGAGAATATGGGATGGGATTTGGGGGCTAATTAGTATTATTATGAAGGCTGTCTCTGTAGCCGTTGTTCCTTGAGTGCAGACAAAGGGAGACTTGGGTTTACTCAGGAGCCAAGCAAGAACATTAATATGAATATGGATTGCCTGTGAGATGAGGTTATGTTGTGTATAATATTAACATTAATATTAAGATTGGGGGTTCAAATGTTTGGGTTTTGAAATCAAGAAAGGAGCAAACTTTCTTTAATAAAGAGAAAAACTAAAGAGATTCCTTGCTGATCTCTCTTTAGTCTTTACTGCTGAAGAAGGAATTTAGGAGCTGCAAGAGATTGCTTTGTATGGAGAGAAAGCAAGATTTTGGAGGCTTTGGACAGCACATTGCTTCTTCTCAAAAGCCCCTTGGAAAAAAGTAGCATTTGTTTGATAGGCAGGCAGGCTCTCATATAATTTGTACATATGATTGGGTGAATGGATGGCCATCATGGAAATCAGTACAAACAAACAATATAATTGAGCACCTAGCTAGTGTTGATCTAACTGTCATTGGATTTCAATTGATTTAATATGTGCATCCAAAAATTCTACAAACAAGTTGTGGGGTTCTCCAAAGCACCCTTATGAGCTTAATGGCCGGGGACATCTTTATTCCTTTTTCTTTTTTAGGCCAGGATTATGCTAGCTAGCTAGGTGGGCTGAGCTTGATTTTAGGTCTTTTTGATCATCAGAGCAAAGCAATATGCAAAGGATAATGTTAGGGCTTATCGCATTTTTATATCACGTTGTGTACCACATTTCTAATAAAGGGGAAGAGCACCAATACAATAGAGCCCACCTCTATTAGAGATGTAGTACACAATATGGTAAGCCTAAAATTTTTCATATGCAAAATTCTTGTTGGGTTAACTCGTATGGGTTACAAGGAGGAGAATGTACAATTTGAATGTCCATATGGGTAAGAGTGGGTGTAGGTGAGAAAGGAATGTCGTTGCTTACTTCTCACACTTCCTAAATTATGTTTTGAATGTCAAAGAGTAGGCTCAAATGTGTGAATTGAACTAATACGTGGGGCTCTGGTCAATCCCAATCCTATGGGCGTTGTTGGCTGGTCAAAAGGTGTGTTTACCCAAACTGACACCAAGGCTGAAGTGGGACCACAATGCATAACACCTTTTAATTATTCAATTGAAGAAGAAGAAGAAGAAGAAGAAGAAGAGAAATTATAATGACCAAACCTGTAGCAAAACGAAAAGGAAATTACCCTCAAACCAAAGCATGCACAAACTACTGCAAAACCAAAACCAAAACAACACATATATCTACTACCACCTGTAGCTAACCCTTCACGCATAAAGTCATCCCAAATTTAAACTCAACTCCATCAAATAAATACTCAACATCAAGCTTAATTGGGATCCCAAAAGAATTAAAATGCCAAAGGAATTTGATCATCATCATCATCAGCTCCTCCACTCCAAATTCTCACTCTTCCTTCTCTATCTTCTCTCACCCTCAATAGGTAAATTCCAATGCATGGCATGCCGTGACACATACCCTAACTAACTAAAGTTTCCATGACTAATTATACTTCAAGTTTAACCTAGGGTTTTAAATTCTTACTTTTGTAGGTTCAACAACCGCAGTAGCGGCACCAATCGGAATCTGCTACGGCCGAGTAGCCAACAACCTCCCACCACAGGCCACCGTCCTCCAAATCCTTCAAACCAACAACATCTCATCCGTCCGTCTCTTCAACACCGACCCCGCCACCCTCCAATCCTTCTCGTCCACCCCAACAATCCGCCTCACTATCGGCGTCCCCAACGAGCTCCTCCCCACCCTCGCCTCCGCCACAGTCCCTGCTGCCCTCGCCTGGCTCCAATCCAACATCCTCGCCCACATCCCCCCCAACCAAATCCACTACCTCGCCGTCGGCAACGAGGTCTTCCTCAAAGACCCTTACTACATCCCCCACGTCCTTCCCGCCATTCTCAACCTCCACCAAGCCCTCCAAACCCTAGGCCTCTCCCAAACCATCAAGCTCTCTTCCCCGCAAGCCGCCTCCGTACTCTCCGCCTCCTACCCTCCCTCCTCCGCCTCCTTCGACCCCTCCCTCCAACCCTCTCTCCTCCCCCTCCTCCACTTCCTCCGCGACACAAACTCTCCCTTCATGGTCAACTCCTACCCCTACTTCAGCTACTTAAGCAGCCATCCCTTCATCTCCCTCGATTACGCCCTCTTTCGAGCTTCCGGAGCCGGTGAGGTCGTTCTGGACGGTGGGTTGGCGTATAGTAATCTCTTCGACGCGAGTGTGGATGCGTTTGTGAGTGCGATGGAGAGGGAGGGAGTTGCCGGCGTGCCTGTGGTGGTTTCGGAGACAGGTTGGCCGACACGTGGAGGGGAGGCGGCGAGCATTGAAAATGCACTGGCGTATAATGCTGAGGTGGTGAGGCGGGCTGTGGAAGGGGTTGGGACACCCAGGAGGCCCGGGTGGGCGTGGAGGTTTTCTTGTTTGACCTGTTTGACGAGAATGAGAAAGGAGGTAAGGAGTACGAGAAGCATTTTGGAATTTTTGGGCCTGATGGGCTTAGGGCTTACGGGCTTAGTTTTAACTGAACATGGGCCTTATGGTTTTGACGACGAGGCCCCCACTTCAATGCCAATAATGGATCTCCGTCTGGAATTTCTGGCTTCATTATGGGCCCACTCGTCGTCTGTTCAGTCGTTTTGTCAGATGCATCAATACTAGAGTGACGTGCCGTTATTCATATTGTCGTCTTCCTTAATCTAATTACTTCACTCTCTTTTAGATTCTTTTGTGAAAATAATGAAGGAGCATATAGTGTTTCTTGTTATGCATTATTTTTATCGAACTTATCTTTTTGGAATCTCCTAAAATCGTTGAAGATGTACTAGTAGATAATCTTATGTAATAGTGTTACACGAACATTACTATTTCAATGTTCACACTTGTAAGGAATCAATGTTTGTTTTTCAAATTATAGAGAGAGAGGCCAGAGGCCAAGAGATGCTCTGATTCTTTTTCTTTTTCTTTTTCTTACTCTCCAAGAAAATAATAATAGAGAGAGAGGCCAGAGGCCAGGAAGGAAAGGAATATGAATTTTATTTTTGTCTCTATCATTATAAAGAGAACCCCTGAGTTCTCCACCCAACCCAATCCAAGGTGTATTTTCATTGAGAGATGACAATTCCACGCTTGGATCTTGACATTTCTATGCCCAAATAGTATTTGAGGCCACCTTGTTCCTTGACACGAATTTTTTAATGAAGGACTCCCATGAGAGATTTAATGGAGGCTGGATCATTGCCTATAATTATAATATCATCAACATAAATCAATAAAGGAGTGAAAGATTAGCCATGTGACTTGGTGAATAGAGAGTAGTCTACCTTGGATTGATTAAATCCCGCCATTTTTATAGCATTGCAAAATTTGGAAAACAAGTTTTGTGATGCTTTTTTAAGTTCATATAGTGACTTGTTGAGTAGACACACAAGATTCTCCCCCTATCGATGAAAGCCCGGTGGAGGAAGCATATATACTTCCTCATCAAGATGTTCGTGGAGGAACGCATTTTGGACGTTGAGTTGGTGGAGAGGCCAATGTCGAGCAGCAACAATAGCAAGCAAGCATAGTGACAAGTTTGGCAGTGGGGGAGAAGGTCTCATGATAGTCAAGGCCTTCTTGTTGGGTGTAGCCTTTAGCCACTAAGTGAGCTTTGTTAACACTCAATGGTGTTGTCTGAACGATGTTTGATTTTATATACCCATTTGCAACCAATGGGCTTGTGACCATGAGGCAGGGACGTGAGGGTCCATGTGTTATTTTTCTCCAAAGCAGTAATCTCAGTATTCATGGCTTGTTACTAATTGGGGTTATGCGCAACTTGATCATAAAAAGTGGGCTTTGTTTAACCTGAAATAATAACTAAGAAAGAACGATGTGCAGGTGATAGACGTGCATAAGAAACAAAATTTGAAAAGGGATAACGAGTACCTTTCATAGAACTTGGCATAGAGTCGGATAATGGAACCTTGGTATGCAACATAGCATGAGACACTTTATAATCACAATGCCAAATACGAGGTCGTGTAGGACGAGTGGAGTGACGAGTTGGTTCAAGATGAGGAGATGGGTGAGCCGTCATCGAGGAATCCGGTTCTGTAGGAGCGGAAGCGATGGGAAGAGTTGGAGGAAGAGAAACCGGCCCCAGCGAGGCAAGATGAGTGGAGTTATGGTGGTTTGCATGAATAGTGGAAGAATTATTAGATTCATCCACGGGAATAACAGAAACTGACTCCTCCTCTGAAGGATGGGATTGGTTAAGATGCTATGAAACATCAGGTTGATGAGGAAGTGTGAAGGATGGATTCATACATGGCTCATAAGAAGAGTCTATGCACGGAAAAACAATTGGGTTTGGTCGTATGTTACATGCAGAGTTTGAATAAGGAAAAACATTCTCATAAAAATGACATCACGACCAGAGAAAAATTGTTTCATGGTGAGATCATAAAGGCAATATGCCTTTTGCCCTAAAGGGTTGTCGGTGCAGATACAACGACGGGCACGTGAGTCAAATTTTTGGACAGGATGGACGTTTGTGGCATAGCAAGACACCCAAAGACTCGCAAGTGATCCAATGAGGGTGCACGATTATAGAGTAGTTCATAAGGGGACTTTCCTGACAACAAAGGAGTGGGCATGCGATTAATTAGATAGGTAGCAGTAAGGACACATTAACCCCAAAAGATTAAGGGAACATTTGAATGAAATCGTAAAGCACGAGCAACATTTAAAATGTGGTAATGTTTACGCTCATCCACTCCATTTTGTTGAGGAGTATAGACACATGTAGTTTGATAAAGGATGCCATGCTCCATAAAAATTGGGCGCATAGAAGCAAACTCACTGCCATTGTCAACACGTATTGCTTTTATATCGTGATTAAATTGAGTACGAACAACAACATGAAAAGATTTTAATAATGGCTAAGTTTCATATTTGAAGCGCATGAAATATAACCAAGTGCAACGAGTATAGTAATCTATAATGGTTAAAAAGTAGCATGCACTAGAATGAGAAGTAACTTTATAGGGTCCCCAAATATCACAATAAAAAAAAAAAAAAAAAAAAAAAAAAAAAAGAAGAAATTTGGAACTTCTACCAAAAGGCAATCTAGTTTGCCGTGCATAATGACATGCATCACATTGGTGAGAAGAGTTAGAAGAAATAGCTAGATTTATTTTAGTAAGTAATTGGAGGTGAGCAGGTGAAGGGTAACCAAGACGTTGATACCAAAAATTTGATGAAGTGGAGACGTGATTTGAGGATGGGTGAGTAGGAACAAGGTGAATAAAATAGAGTCCGCCATGTTGTTTACCCAAGCCAATTGTCTTCTTCGTTGCCAAATCCTACAAAAGACAAAAAAAAAAGGAAAAAGGAGGACACAACAATTTAGAGATTTGGTAAGCTCGCTAATAGACATTAAATTAATCCTACAAGAAGGAACACAAAGAACATTGTGTAAAGAAATATTGGAATCAAAAGATATGGACCCAACGGAATGTATTGTAGCGTTAGCACCAGTAGGTGTAGGGGTCTTTTTATTCCAGCAGCCTGACAAATGGGCTTGGGCTGTCGAAAAGAGAAACATGTGAAATTACCCCATGTGCCTGAGTTCAAGAATCAGGCCCCAAGAATGCTTCAAAAGGGTAGTGAAGCCTTAGGAAGCATCCTGGTTATCTTCACCAGCAAAAACAACAATTGCTTATAGATAGATTCTTAATTTGGCATGAGAAGCTTGTGGCATGGGAGCAAAACCATCATGAGTTTAGCATAAACAGAGAGAGAGTTGTGGATTCTTTTGAAAGATAAGGGTTTTAAGGAAAGAGGGAATGGATTCTACGAGGGTTTGTTGAAGAGGGAGAGAGATGAGGCTTTAATGGGTGTGTTGAGTAGTTTCCGGCAGCTTAACGAAAAATCTGTCAAGCTCTAGAGTGTTTTAACAGAAGAGAAAAGAGGAGGAGATGGAGGAATAGGGCTCAAAATTACAGAGGCTTTAGGGAGGAGAGATAAAGCTTGCTCCTCAGATGTGTGTTGCTTAGGATAAATAAGAAGGAGATAGAAGGTGAGGCACTTGGGCTTGATGTTAGTAGTTAGAGAATAAGCTTGCTCGACTGCTCTGGTTGAGTTTAATGGGTAGGAGGTACCTCCTTTTATAGTCGTTGGAAGCTCCTCATTCCCAAGAAACCCTAATGGGTTCTCTTCAATTTTGCCAAGTCCCCCTTTCATTTCTCTCCTCTCCCTTTGATCCATCCCATTTTGTGAAATTCTCCTCTACCCAATACCTCAAGCTTGGTATGAGAGATTATCCTCTCATTTGTTGCTGAAAGGTTACACCAGGGGCACAATTGACAAAACCTTGTTTGTCAAAAGGGTTGATCATGATCTGATGGTTGCACAAATATATGTGGATGATATTGTTTTTGGTTCAACTTCAAATACCCTATTTTCTGAATTTACTGACGTCATGCAAAATGAATTTGAAATGAGTATGAGTGGTGAACTAACTTACATCCTTGGATTACAGGTACAATAATTAAAAGATGGGATGTTTCTATCTTAAACTAAGTATGTGAAGGACTTGGTTTCAAAGTTTGGATTGGAAAGTGCAAAGCCAATCACAAATCCCATGAGCACCACCACCAAGCTTCATAAAGATCTAACTGGAAAAGATGTTGACCAGACACTTTACAGGAGCATGATAGGGAGTTTACTCTACTTAACTGCTAGTAGACCTGATTTATCATTTTCTATTGGTGTTTGTGCATGATTTCAATCTTGTCCAAAAGAATCTCATTTACTCGCTGTTAAAAGAATCATTAGATATGTAAGTGGTACTCTCCAATATGGAATTTATTACTCATCTGATTCCAACATTGAAATTGAAGGTTATTCAGATGCAGATTGGGCTAGAAATATTAATGATCGAAAAAGCACATCTGGTGGCTGTTTTTATCTTCGAAATAATATGGTTTCATGGCACAATAAGAGGCAAAACTGTGTATCACTTTCCACAGCTGAAGCTGAGTACATTGCAGCCGGGAGTTGTTGTACTCAAGTTCTGTGGATGAAGCAAATGTTGTGTGATTATGGCTTTAATCAAGGTAAGCTGCTCATTTTCTGTGATAATCAAAGTGCCATAAGTATTTCTCATAATCCTGTTGAGCATTCCCGAACCAAGCATATTGATATCCGACATCATTTTATTCGTGAGTTGGTTGAAGATGGGGTTCTTTGACTTGCTTATGTGAATAGTGACAATTAACTTGCTGATATTTTTACAAAACCCTTAGATACTACTAGATTTGAACACCTCCGAAAGTCCATTGGCATTTGTTCTATCTTTTGAATAGCTAGGCTACTGTCTCAATTGCATCTCATTGTGTAACACATTGCATTTTTTTTTTCATTTTTTTTTTTAAATCTCCAAATTTTTTTCCTACATATTTTGCTTTTGTTTTGATTGGTGTTCTTCACGGCTTGTTAGGAAATGAGCTAAACTCTCTTGAAATTGCTTCGTGGTTACTTGATATTAGATTGACATCTCTCTTCCCAACATGTTTTACAACTGTGCATAATATTGAGATTGAACCTTTGGGATCAATGGTTAAAATGGTCCTTTTATTGAGTGCTTAGATTGAAAACCCATAAAAATTCTTCTTGCACTCTGTCAATATTCTTGGTGTGTGCCCTTGTGCAGAATTCAGTTGAGACCAAGTGAGCCACACATTGTCTTCATTAGGCCATGCTTCTATAACACTTGGACCGACTCTATGTGTGTGTAATTATAGTTTAAAAACAAAAAAAAAACCAAAAAAAAAAACCAAAACAAAAACAAAAAACAATTAAAGGGCAGAATTTTTCAAGATGACATAATGTGGAAAAAGCTACCTATAATTCCTATTGCATGGCATATTGAAAATATTTACACCTCTCACACTTGTTGAGAACTTAAAGCCAGTTGGTTGGAGTGTATAGCTACCATTGAAAGAAGGTGTTCATTGTTCTCTTGTTCGAAACTTGAATTTATGCAGGTCAACTATTCTGGACCTTGTTCGAAACTTGAATTTATGCAGGTCAACTATTCTGGAAGCAAGGCTACATGATCACACATTGTGGGTTTTCATTAGTCAAAAGCACAATATTCTTCACAGGTGTAATCTCCTTTGTGCTGACTCACACTACACACATTTTTTATCTTCTTAATTGAATCTAAGCACTTTGCTCTCTATCTTGGCCATCTCAACTCCTGTTCCATGTCTTTGGTTTTTAATCTCTTTATTATTTGTGGTTTATGCACATCCATGTTGAGTATGCCTGAAATGCTATGCTTGTATCACGTCACATAACTTGTTGCGACACTCTACTTATTTCCCCCGACAAATCTATTTTGCTTGTGTCTTGCTACCTTGTTTATCTATTCAGCATTCATTCTTCTGGTTCATCTATTGCATGTGTTTGTTTGGGTATGAATGCTTTTCATGATTCTTGTGCAAGTGTGCAGAATTGTCTAGATACAGGTGATGGTCATCCATCTTTGGCTTTCCTTTCCAAAAAGGGGGAGATTAGTGCAAACCCTACGTTAATTGGTCACTCTACTGTGATTAAGGGGGAGTCTTGTTCTGCTATGATTACGGGGGAGCCTTGGTTCTGCATAAGCGGTTATATTGAGGGGGAGTACTTGTGGTTGTGATACTCTAACAACTATATGATATCTAATTTACTTGTGTAGAGTCGAATCCTTGATCAAGTTGAGATTGAGTGATTTTTTTTCTCTCATTGTGTTGGGGTTTTGTCTAGGAAATGCCAGGGGGAGATTGTAAATGTGAATTTACTTAGGAATTGGTTTAATTTCCTAGACTTGTAATTGTGTCCTCGTTGTGTAGATTTAGGCCTAGTTTTTAGGCAAATTAACTTGGGCCACAAGACTTATCCAGATTGAGCAGATCAAGGGTTGACTATGTCTACAAGGTAATTTGCATTTGCATATCATATTAGGAAAACTATATTTTTGTGATTAAGTTTTATTAGGAATGAAATTCACAATAAAATCAATCAGCAAAATTGTTTTCCTCTTTTTTCACGTTAAAACCAATTCTACTTTTTCCTACTCTTTTTGGAACGTGATTTCTGTTGATATAAAACAAAGCTTGAAGACCTTTGTTACTCACTCCTGCAAAAACTGATTTGAGAGATTTATATTGAGAGAAGCAGAGGTGAGTTCATGAAAAATTAGAATGATAAAGCAACTTGTGAAGCTTTTTAATTCTAGTTTGCATCTTTATATTTCATATTCCATATTGGAAGCTGTGTGCAATGGAAGCTGTGTGTGGGCATGCTTGTTCGTGAGGATCATCAATTCGAGAGAGTTCAAGCAAGGATTGAGTAAGGCAAGACAAAAGTATTGGATAGATTCTTGTTTAGAGTTTATCTTCTTGAGTCTTGTAATAGTCCATTCTTAATGGATTTCTAGAGTTTTTCTCGGTTGGGTTTTTTCCTCGTACCATTGGGTACAAAAATCCTTGTGTTAATTTACTTCTGCTGCAAGATTTTATTAGTTAGATTTGGGATTGACATCCTTGTCCAATGCTATTTCGGTTATCTATTTACTCTACCTGAGACATGATTTTAGCCTCCCAATCCAATTTGAAGAAGTCGTGCAAGGTGATATCATTGATATGCAGCAAATCTCAATATGCAAGATGCCCCATCTCAAATCCTAATATGAAATTCAACGGAGATGGAGTCCTTGCTTTTGCTTTAAAATTTGAGTTTCAGCAATTTTAGGTATGGTTCCTTTTCTCTCTCTCTCTCTCTCTCTTTTTTTAAAAAAAAATATTTAAATGATAAGTTATTATTATTTTTTTATTCACACCTTGGCCAATATCAAAACCATTATTGTTGTTTTCTTTTTGTAGAGAACTCCAAGTCTTTTATAAAAACTAATTCATCGATCAAGTCTTGTGTCAAGGAAGAAAATATTGTATCGATCAAGCTTCTAAAGTGTGTTCGAATGTAATTCATAGTATCAAAAAAAAAAAAAAAAAAAAAAAAAAAAAAAAAAAAAAAAATGAAATGCGCTTTTTTTTTTCTTCGTCATCAACCGTGCCAGTTTCATTTTCAGCATATAAATGAAATTGGCATTGTTTAAATTATAAGGCTATTTGGTTGTCAATTTTTTTTATAAAGCTTTTAGCCTTTCAAAATTGCACCTCTGCCGAAAAATTCATGGGTCTATCAGTCCAAGTAAAGGAAGAGAAAGAAGACCAAGTGGTGCCGAAAAAAAGGGATAAGCAAATAAGTACTATCCTCGTTTCACACATGTGTTTCTCTAGCTAGTGGGTGTTGCTTGCGGATGCAAGTGCACCACCTCCCTTCTTCCAACGGATGACTGTGATCTTCTTAGTTTGAAATTCACCGGCTATTACAAGAAAGGAAAAAAAAACCTAAAAATTTTGTAAAAAAAATTCTCTATATACCCAACTAAAATAAATCAACAAAACTTGTTTAATCCTATGTTATTGCAATTAAATTTTTTTTTGGGTTCCATTTATTTGGAAAAATTAAAAATTAAAAATTAAAAAGTTAATGCAAAATAAAAATTAACTCAAAAATGAATTAATATAAGAAAATCAAATTTACATCTTTGGATTTACATTTTCACCATCAAAGCAAAAACATTATTTACATCAACTGCAAATGTAAAAGTAACTTTACACCCCCCGAATTTACACATCCCCATCGTGGATGTTCTTATTTAGATTGTATTTTCATTTGTATAGGTTAAATATCCTTGATCTATGTAAATTTTAAGTTTTTTTAAATAAATAAAAAATTAGATTTGTATTGAGATTTAATAGGCTGACACTCCAATGAAAAAGAGTATTGACTTGAATATGAGAAATCTCAAATTCAAACCCCCATAATATGATAGTTGTGTGCATGTGAGAAATCTTTCCCCCTCTCCTCTAGTTGGACTATCAGTTATACTCAAAAACAAAACAAAAAGGCTGACGCATGCAAGCTGAAGCATTCAACGCAAGTCCCGAAGGGATGCTCTTGCTTTTTCCCACTCTCATAGAAAATAATAATAGAGGCTAGCGAAAGAAATGAATTTTGTTTTTGTCCCCGGTCATTAAAAATAGAACCCCTGAGTTCTCTGCCCAAACCCCCTCAATTCTCACAAATCACAAGCTCGGCAACTTTTAATTATAAGTTTTAAACAATCGAATCCAATCCTGTTGAAGAAAACCCAGGAAAAACCAATATGTCCGATAGTGAACAAAACGTCACTGAGCTGGTGAACAGCGAACCCCACGACTTTCGCTCGCTGCTTTCTTCTTCCGGGAGGGACTTTCTTGTCTGCAACAATGGTGATCATGTATATTTTCACCTCTCAATATCTTATTGTTTTAGATTATCTTATGCAGTCCCGTTGAGTTTGTGTCAGTACTCAGTCACCCTTGGATCTAAGCTAAAGGTGTAAAAATCCATATAAATGTTTATATTATTTGAAGTTACCCAAAATATGTTTTCTGAAAATCCACACGTTCTTTCTTCTTTGTTCTGTCGCTCATGAAGCTTGTAGCTGCTGCCCACACCCTCCTCCATCCAAAAGTGTGACCAACCCATCATTGAACATCCATGATTGCTCAGAACTGAAGCCCGAATCCACGACACTTTCGCAGTCGAAGATCAACAATTCTTGATCTTCGGCAGTCTCTGAGGCCTTATCCTTCGTACCCAAATCGGTAAATTGATTGTTGAGTTCATTTTTTGATGATTGTCAGAAGAGAAAGATGTAAAATCATGAGGTTTGTTCCCATCGATGAAAACAGAGGACAATCAACCTTGAACACCGCTGCACGCCATTGCAATCAAACTCAGAAGAAAACTACAACAGTGGAAGAAAATATACTGTGGTTTACAATCTGTAACCGAAGAAAATAGTATCTGAAAACTAAAGATGAACATGTATGAGAGTTTCGTGGAGGTTAATAAAAAATTTATAAAAAAGAGTATTGAAGCGGATGTTGGGTCTTTGAAGAATTATTAGATTCACACCCAAAGAGTATTGAAGCGGATGTTCAATGATGGGTTGGTCACTGTTTTCAGAATCGGTGACGCTAGGTTGTGTAATTGAAGCCACACCTCCCTCCACTGCAATGGAGAATCGGAGGAGGAGGCAGCGGCTACAAGCTT